ACTGTTTCATCAGAAACTTGAACGGTTTGCCCCACCACCTCCTTCACATTACACCAAAGTTCTGTCCCTATGTTCTAACCACAACCTACCCTTCATCTAAGAAAAATACTCTTCTAACTTTTTTTTTTAAGATTTTATTTATTTATTTGAGAGAGAGAGAGAAACAGCATGAGAGGGGAGAGGGTCAGAGGGAGAAGCAGGCTCCCCACTGAGCCGGGAGCCTGATGCAGGATTCAATCCCAGGACTCTGGGATCCTGACCTGAGCCAAAGGCCGTCACTTAACCAACTGAGCCACCCAGGCACCCAAATACTCTTCTGACTTTTTAAGCTCACCACATTTATACACACATCTAGAATTTCTTTCCTTTGCGTACTATTGAATAAGGAAAGAATGTGCTGACCACTTTGAATTTTATGTTTTGCCAATTAACGTTTAGCAATTATCATTCAGAAAGAACCTATCTGAGAAATAAAGATAATATTAACAGTGTAGCAAGCTCCAGTTGGAGGAGTAACCAAAATACAGAAGTCATGATGACAAGGACCAGTGTCTGCCTGGTTCAGCTCTCACCCTTGTACCCTAATGCCCAGCAGAGTTCAGCACTCATCAAAAAAACGTGTTGAAAAAAAGTGCATGAATGGTTGCCATATTTTTTAGGGTAACTTGCATAACAAGAAGACCCAAAACACAATGTCTTGAACATAGTAAATGTTCCTTCTCCCATAACCTAAAAAAAAGTTGAGGGCCAGGGAGAAGAGTAGAGGACTTGCTCTGTGCAGTTTTTCAGGAACCCAGGCCAAGTTCCTCTCTGTCATCTTCAAGTAGCTTCCAGTGAACTATGGTGGTTTTCATCTCCTTTCCAGCTCACAGAAGGAGAGCATGAGCGCTGAGGAATGTGCCTGCTGGGGTAGTTTATTGGCCAGGCCTAGAAGCCCCACATATTGTATTGAGCATCCTGTTGGAGAGGAGTCGGTCACATGGCCATATCTCATTGCCAGAGAGACTGGAGAATGCGTTGTTGCTGGGCATGTGGCTATGTCATTTCTGGAAGGAAGGTAGAGTGGATTTGGGTGGATAGTTAGCAAGTTCTGTCAGCATCCTCGTATCCTATCAATAGTTCTTCTTAAATATGGGTTAAGTTATACAGTTGCTTTAAGCAGTAAAACATAAAATGTACTAAAAGGTACAAAAAGAAACTCAGATGCACATTAAACCTTTGTTGATGAGAATATATCAAATATTTTCCTTCTCTTAGAGCCTAAGGTTAGAATAATGAACCTGTTTTGGCTCCCAGTGTTCTCTGCAGCCTTCAGACTGAGCTGTTTGTATATGGAGGGAAAGCATTTTTTTTCAGTGTCCTCTATAAAGGCCTTGTCAGCATTTTACAGCTTTAGAAGACATTTGTTTTTGCTCCAAGCGTTTTCAAGGGCTTCAGTGGTCAAACAGGTTTTGAGCCCAGCTTTCAATGCCACAACAGACAGGGGACCAAGGGGAAGAATTGAAAATAAATCCCACAGTCTAAAGCTAATTTTTTCAAGGATTTTGCTCTTTTTAGATTTGAGGTTATTTTTATAATTGAGGAGGGTGGTTCTTAAAATTCAGTTCCTTCTGACACCCAAAAACGGTCCAATTAAATTCTATCATAGCACATCTGTGTGTTTTGAAAGTCACTGGTAAGACTTAACTGAAGCAAAATTTTATGGATTATAAACTAAGCTTTATCTGGTTTTTTTTTCATGCAATTCAAGAAGCAGTTTCATTAAATTATTCTTAAAGTCATAATCTGTTCTTTGCTGTTTCTTAAAATTATCCATTTAAAAGTTCCTAAGTTTAGAAGACCAATTAAAGTAAAAATTAATGCAATAACACCTTTTTATAAGAGTTTTATTACTTTAACCTTTCATAAGTGCAAACATTAATAAACTCCTCTTTCACCACACCTAGAGAAGTGTTCGGGACATAAAACAGTTCAAAACCTTCAGAAGGCATCGAATCCGTATTTTCTCCTAAGGCAAGAACTATTATAGCTGCAGAACATTTGGAAATCCAGTAACATTCTTCCCATACAGTGGAAGCCTTCTGCTGCATTTCAGCTGTTCTTTTGACCTGTACATTCCATTTTCCCCTTCTCCCACCTCACTGAAGTGAGGGAAATTCCTGATCTCTTTCTTTATCTTAACCTTAGGCGAAGAATGGAAGTCAGAATTTATTGTGTGTTTTGCATCCCTGGAAAGAGGTGCTTCTGTTACTGCGTTCAGAGACCTTTACTACCCTTGTTTGTTTCATTCTGAAGAAAACTGAGATAGGTGGCCAGTTGTAACACATTCTTCACATGTTCTGTGTCCAAAAGGTGTAGGGGCAACCTCCTTGGCGAAGGAAGGAGCCTGCTGCGCTTGCCTGCTGCGTTAGTGAAAGCAGCTCATGAATAGTCAGCAGTCTCCAATGTGTGGACAACATGAAAGTTGGAATTATTATAAAGCCTTAAAGAGGACGATGGAACAAGATTGAAAGTCACCCTTTGTCGATGACATCCATAAAAAAAAAAAAAAAAGATCCTTGGGGAGTTCTTAAACATAGGGATCAAACATTTTTTAAAAAGCGGTGGGGGAGGGAGTCCAAGTTACTGCCTACTAGTTTTAACCCTGGAGATCAGCCAGACTTTCTCACATTTTACAACTGCTTTTTGCAAAGTTTTCCATTGTATAACATAACTTTTTTCTGGAATTCTCAAAACCTATAAGCAATTATATCTTGGTTCTTTTGGTATAGGGAAAAAAAATCTTCTTACTGAAATATCTAAATTTGTATACTACTACTACAGTTTACTTTCTCTTCCCTCTTTCTGAATATTTCCTACCCTTAATGTGAAGATTTTTTTATTTTGAAATAGTCATTTGCATATAATTAAAAATGTATTTCACTGACACTGTTTTAAAATGATCTGAGGATAAAGGGTTTTGCTTTCCCTAGGAATTCAGGTTTCAGAGCTTTAGAAAAACCTAATGCTATTGCACTAGATCTTACACTAAAGATTTTGATAATCTATTGAAGATCACCAGTGAGAACAAACACAGATTCTTTGTCATAGATATAACCCCCTTTCATCAGGAAGATCACATTCAGGTAATAGCAATTATAAGAGGCCATTTTAGAAAGGCCTCTTCTAACTCAAACTTTAGAGTTATAAAAATGTAAATATAATTGAATATTGTCATAATTTTTATTTCTCAGATCCATTCTAAAATGAACTGTGTAAATCATCTAAGCATGTAAATTGATGTTAAATAATGGCAGACACAGACACTCTTTCCAGTATCTGGAGCATCACCTTAACTGGAGAAATAGTAGTAAAATATTTGGGAGGTGGATTTCATAGTTTTAGAAATAATAATAGCATCAACAACAATAGCTAATATCCTTTAAATGTACCAGGTATTATTCACGTTCTTTACGTGCATTATTTCCTTTAATCTCCAAGGCCACCTATGTAATTCTGTTAATATTGCCATCTCCATTTGCCAGATGTGGACATTGAGGGTCAAGTAGGGTCAGACAGTTGGTAAATGATAGAGCTAGGATTCAAACCCAAACATTCCGACTCCAGAGCCACCATTCTAACTATTACGTTATGCTATGTCTCCCTGTGTTTCTACTGTCTGATAGAGCCCAGGGTTTTAAACTTTCAGAATTCCAGATAAATTGGCCAAACCAACATAAATGGAAAACAATTCATTCATCTACCAAGCCAAAGATTAGTTTTCTACTCTAATTATGTGTTTATTTTGTGAGGATTTTTATGTCAATTTCATGGGATTATTGAGAACCTTAATCAGATTTGCTTTGTAAAGGGTTTTTCACAATGGGAGGTTATAAATATGTAGATGAACACATGTTGCTTCAATATGTGTTATTCTGATGACCTAGAATAGGTGGATTGTGCTTATTAATGTCCTTTTAAAGCAGATATGAATCTTTGAGTTCAATGAAATTCAGGTTCAGATCTCTAAAGCAGCTCTTTTTTTTTTTTTTTCGGTTTACTGAATATAAATGAGCTCTTGTTTGCTTTTTTGTAATCTTCCTTCATGGGCATGGCTTACTTATGATGTGCTCAGTCACCTGAATTGTATTCAGAAAGTATTGGCCATGTCACAAAAACCTTACAGGTATGCCTCCTGATAAGTATTATAAGCCCTCTCGGTCAGCCTGAAATACATGCTATTCAAAGTAAGTTTCCTGTTTATATTTTTTCCATCTTAGCTATTATAAGGATTAATATTAAATATCACAGAAAGAAAGGTTCTTAAGTTAACACCATTTCTATTCATGGATAGTTTACAGTTTGGCTACAAGCTATATGTTATCCCACATTATATTGGCAATTTATCCTGAAAATATGTTAAATGAGCAATGAATGTTACATTGGTTTCTGATAAGATTCAAGGTCAGATTCCTCAGTCCCAGTTCTAATTCTACCCTAATGTTCTGACAGTCTGGGTTTTGTTATGTTTAGCTGTAAGGTATGGCTGATACCTAACAAGGACATTATCGGATACAATGATCATTTTGTGATGGTGTCAGATATCTTCATTAAAGGGATGATAAAATTCAACATCCAATTTTATACAAGCAGCATATACTAAACTTTTGTAGTTTTACTAGTTTTAACAAAGATAGAAATATGAGGACTAGAATTCATTTATACCAGCATATTATCTGATCTTTCTGTTTTAAATAAAGGAGGATCTGCCGTTGCATATTTCTTACCATTCCTACTGGGCAACCACAATTTGTTTTGTTGTTGTTGTTGCTTTTTTTTTTTTTTTTAATTTTATTTTATTATGTTAGTCACCATACATTACATCATTAGTTTTTGATGTAGTGTTCCATGATTCATTGTTTGCGTATAACACCCAGTGCTTCATTCAATACGTGCCCTCCTTAATACCCATCACCGGGCTGACCCATCCCCCCACCCCCCTATAATTTGTTTTGTTACAGAATATGGAAAGCCTCAATTCCACACCATCTCACGAGAGGGCTGGACCTGACGATGTTGAACTGATGTCCGATGAAAGGTAATTTTAGCATTTGCTCCTCACATTGCTTACTAAAAGCATGAATAGCTTGCTTTTTTTTTTTCCACTTAATACAATGTGCATTACAAGAACTAGAAAGAATAGAATTAAAGGTCTGTATGTTTACCAGTAGTATTTTATAGCAAGGAAAATGCTTAGAATAGAAAATCTGCTGTGGTGCTATTAAAGACAACCCCATTCGTGGTTGTGTTTCTAGTTTTGTTTTATTTTGATTTTTTGTTTTGTCTTGTTTTTGAATTTTACAAGAATTTAATGTAGAGCCAGTCAGCCTACTTTTAAAATAAATGAAATCATAATTTCACTGGATGAAAAGCATTGTTCTAAAACTGACATTTTATGATATTTTGTTGTTGCTGTTGTTTATAGCAAAGAAGATGAAAAAGGCAGCAGACATACCCAGCATTTTGAGGTGAGTAGCTAACAATTTTGTGATTGTAACGGGGCTGTCCATACGTTCTCGAGAGCACACATGAAGCACTATGAGCCTGTCAATAAGGGATAATGAGATTGACAGGACTGTGCTTGATCAGAAAGGCAAATACTGAAACATAAAGATTCCTTGAAAAATCATATTCTTTTTGCTTTTAAATGCTTTTATTTTGCTTGCAAAGAGAAACTTCAGCAACATGGAGATTTCCCTTTAGGTTTTCCATAAAACAAAACAAAAAGCCAAAGCTACTGGTTTGATTTTCCATGTTTTTATGCATTTTTAAGTGATTGAAATAGGCAATGAATTTAGTGGATCTGTCACCGAGATTTATCTCATTAATTTTCAAATTAAGATAAACTCAGTGTGAGTTATTATACCCAGTTTGTTTTCTGAGTTTTGTCTCATTTTAAGTAAACCACGGAGAAAAAAGATCTAACTCCCTTATGCTGTCTAGATCTTCAAGTTCCGGTTATTTCCCGCCTTCCTCGTTCTCTGAGGGCATCACCATGCTGACCCCACGTGATTTCCCTTGCTCCCAACTCTGGCTTCCATTTGGTGTGCTCAGCCCCATTTTTCATTCACGTATGTGTGTGTAATCTACATCCAAATGCCTCCACCTCCACTTTCGGTATTTTTATCAGTTTCTCCCTTGGGCAAGATTTAAAGCTTTTTTCAACCTGTTCTTGAATTCTGACCCTTGAAATATGAATTATATCTAGAACTCTCCCTCTAACCCAGTTATTCCTAATCTTTATTGGACATTGTCCTAATTCACTGATGGAGTTAGGAGCATCTGTTGAGTCCTGCCGTGTACATGTCCTGGGCTCGGAGCTACAAGGCAGTGAACAGCTGCAGTCCCCTACCCACCTTGGAATTCTACAGTCTCGGAGGTTAAGACTCTAAAAGCTGTGGACCCCCTTCGTAGACAAACGCACCCTCGGGTACAATTTGGCATAAAATTGCTGGGAATGAATCACCACCTCCCCGCCGCTCCCCGCTGGTACTGTGGACCCGTCCTTTTCCCGCTCTTCCGTTTTTGCCACGTCCACTTTATCAGCCTAGCCGGCTAATAGGAGGGGATTGCTTCCTCTTTCTGACTTCACAGCTGCCGAGCCTCCTCTTTCATCTCTTATTTCCCACTCCTTTAAGCTTCCTTCCTTGGGACCCAGGCATCCAGCTGACATTTTTTTCCCTGACACCAGGTACCTTTTTTCAGAGCCCAGTTTCCCCCACGATAGCGTTGCTTTGTTTTCCTTCTTGTTTCACCCTTTCTCAGCTCTTTTCCTCTGCTCACAGCAAGCACTTACTCATCATGCCATCGAACGTGACTTTAAAGAAGATTGCTTTGCCCGCCTCCTAGAGAGGTCTTCTCGGTTCCTCCCTTTTATGCCTGTTCTCCTTTATGAGATAAAAGGGTATAGAGCAGCCTTTGTGGATGGACTTCATAACATTAACTCATAAATTCCAAGCGGCACCCGAACTAAATCCGTGCTGAACTCAGTTTGCCTTGGTATGTTTGTGGACAGCGCCCATGATGGTGGATGAATCACAGGGGAAAAGTCTCAAATCCTGCTTCCATGTGCCAGGTCCTATTCTTACATGTGTCAGCCATGTGCAGTTGCCAATCAGCACCCAGCCCACTGCTGGCACTCCTTAAGCATTCACTATTAATAATCATGGTCGTCATCATACGTTCAGCTAGGAGATAAAATTAAGCAGTGAGTTAAAATCCAGCCTAAGCTCTCCGTGTCAGGTTTCTTTTACAACTGCCCAAAGGAGAAAAACAAGACATCACTCCACAAGATTGGGATGATGCTTCTATTCGGGAAGGCATGTGCTTCTTTCACTAAAAGATATATATTTAATTATTAGGGACAGACCGTGAAAAGATGTTTTCCATTTTTAAAGCCCTTTCCCTTGTTTACAGTGCAATATCATTGTTTACTACTTAATATGTGTAGCACTTTCTAGAACTTATTAAACAACCTAAATAGTTAATCTGGTGTTCTGGTACTATCACAACAATTCCTAAATTTCGGAGATGAAATATAAGTCTAGACTTTGGTTACCCCTCCTAGAATTCTGCCTAAGCGGTGTTTTATTTCACATCTCCTATAGCCTGAGATTGAGAAACCAGTGTTTACATGCTCACTGTGGATGGCTCTTTCCAGTTTCATTTTCCATGAAGACAATTGGTCCTCATTAATACCATCCTTTAAAATTTTCCTTGTAAGTTCTTAGATTCTTGTAAGATTAAGGCCACCGATGCCGGCTATTGAGGAAAGGTGGTGGGTCTTTCTTGTTTTGACTAGCATCTCCATTAGAATGTGGAACATTAAACCCAGTCTCAGAGATGCTCCTCAGGGACGCAGAGGCAGAGAGAAGCTAGTCTTAGAATCTACGGTTCAAACGCAAATGCAGGCACAACTGTGACTTTATTCTTGAAATAAGCATTTTGCAGCCCTAGATGTGTTTTTGGTTTGAATGCACGTGTTGAAAAGTGAACATGGGTTTATCCTTTCGTTGCACATCTTTTTAGTTTTTTTAATCAACTAATCTTACCCAAAAAGAGAATCTGCTCAAGATCTCAGATGGCCAGTGAAACTAAAGTATGATTTTTATGGGTAGGTTTTCAAAAGGTGGGCATTTTAATAAAATATACTTTTTTGGGATGTATGAAATGAACTCATGTAAGGAAGAGCCTAGCGTCCTATTCCCTGAATATGTTGGAGTCCAGAGTCTTTGTTCTTTTGTTTCTTTTTAAGCTCAGTGAACATCTGTAAGTACCCAGAAGAAAGGTCATCCTTAAAACTAGCAATTTCTAGATTCCAAAAGTTATCACTGAAAGTACAGATTTTCAAAGTTCTGTTTACAATAGAGCTTAAATCTCATGCTTCAATTTGATTCCTTCTGATAAGTTATTTTCTGATGTGGAAATATTTCATGCTTCTGTATGAAGTCCAGAATATTAAAACTGTAACCTTATATTTAATCTCTTTATCAAGAAAGCAAAACCTGTAAGAATTATTGAGTGCTTAGAAGGGTATTGCCTTATTTGGGCGAGGTCATTTTATGTCAGAAGTATAAGGTTAATGAAGTGTTAAATTCTTTTGCAATATTTTTACGTTATGCTTTCTAAGCCTACTGCTTAGAAGAGCTTAAAAAAAAAGAAGAGCTTAGAAGCATACCTTTGATAACAAATAAGACATTCATAATAAACAAAAGACCATTTCCCTTTTTTATCCTCCTTCAAAACAAAAGTAAAAGAAGGGAGAGAGAGAAAGAGAGAAGACAAGGCTTTCCAATCAAGACTGAGCATTAATATTAATTATCAGACATCTTAAGTGTAGGCTTTTATGTGCCCTAAGCAGGTTTGAGATAAATTCTGAAATATCCTGTCAACAAGTACTTATGAAATGAATCACTGTGTTATTTCAACTTCACTGTATTCCATGGAAGCGTTAGGATTTTGTTACGGGTTTTGATGTTAGAACCAGAATAATTTAAAAGCTCTATTTGTTTAGATTCACTTCCCATTTCATCCAGTCTCTAAAGGCTACGGAAGCTTTGCAATTCACATGAATTTTGGAACTCTGTTATGTCCACTTTCCTTTATTGTCAGGCCAAACAGTAAATGTTTATGGTTCCATGTGGTTCTTGTATTAACGCTGTGTGGTTCCTTCCTGTGCAAACTGCATTACACAGTACACTCTCTGATCTCATCGCTCCTGGCTCTGGTAAGCTCTTAGGCTACTCATTTATATCCTGTGCAGGGAGGGAGAAGGGACGAAACAAAAATTCACCACCTATTTGAAGTCAGGGGAGGAGCAAGATCAGTGAAGTCTGAGGATTGGAAAAGCCAGGTCCAGTTAGACAGGGGCAAGTCTTGACAAAGATAAGGTGAGTAGACTAATAGCGGTTCCTTTTTTTTTTTTTTTTACGATTTTTATTTATTTATTTGACAGAGACAGCGAGAGAGGGAACACAAGCAGGGGGAGTGGGAGAGGGAGAAGCAGGCTTCCCGCTGAGCAGGGAGCCCAATGTGGGGCTCGATCCCAGGACCCTGGGATCATGACCTGAACTGAAGGCAGACGCTTAACGACTGAGCCACCCAGGCGCCCCTAGTTAGCCGTTCCTTGACCTGAACATGGGCTGTCATCTGAAGCCTCAGGCAAGGTGAGCTTTCTGAGTATTGGCTCCCTAGCGGCCTGTTTTTTTCTGTTATAACATGTGTGACACAGGCACTTATACGTTCAGTGTCTTCCTTCCACACTAAATTCCATACCTCGTTAATTCCTGTAATCCCACTGCCTAGGACATAGTATGTGTTCAGTAAACACTTGCAGATGAATGAATGTGAAAGGGAGGTAGTAAATAATTGGAAATAGCGTTTTTTTCTCAGTTACTATGGGCTAGCCATTTTTATACATGTTTTTCATTTCATCTTCATAACAACTCTATGAAGTCTTAGACTTGTGTGACAGAAAAAACAAAGCTTTAAAAAAAGAAGCCAAAGTACAGAGAGGTTTTCATTCAAGATCTTGCAGCCGATCAGCTGGTACTGAAACTCAGATCTCTGCCCATCCCCTATCTGCCGTACCATATTGTCTCTCCTAAAAGCCACGAAGATGTAGTGTGTTTTTGTATGGTACATCATTTTTGACAGGGGTTTGGTGTGTGAACTTGCAGCACAAGGATCCCTGAATTGAAAATTGTGAAATTGCAGTAGTCCTCCATTATCCGTGGTTTCACTTTCTGTGGTTTCAGTTACCCCTGGTCAGCCCTGGTCCAGAAGCAGATGATTGTGCTTCTGACATATCGTCCGAAGGTCACTAGTAGCCCAACGCTGTGTCACAGTGCCTACATCATTCTCCTCCCTTCATCTCATCACATACACATTTTGTCATCTCACACCATCACAAGAAGAAAGGTGAGCAGAGTAAAGATGTTTTGAGAGAGAGACCACATTCACATAACTTCTATTACAGTATATTATAATTGTTCTATTTATTAGTAGTTATTGTTCATCTTACTGTGCCTAATGTATCAATTAAACTTTATCACAGGTGTGTATGTATAGGAAAAAGCAGAGTGTCTGTAGGGTTCAGCACTATCCTCGGTTTTAGGCATCTACTGGGCATCTTGGAATGTATCCCCCCAGATAAGGGGGACCACTGTAATTCATTTACTCTATGATTTAACTGAAGACATAAGACGTGTAAACAACAAAAGTTGAAACCAGAAATATTTTGGTATTTGAGAATGTCCTTGACATTTGAACATGAATGACCTAAGAGAAGCAGCGGACAAGCAAGTAGACCAGGGCAATGCTATAGGACAAGCATGAGGAGAGAGTGGGGAACAATCTGGAGAGGGGCCCCACCCAGTCTAGGCTGACGAGTATTTGAGGGAAGAGTAGACTTGATGCTGGTGTATTGCTGCAGAGCCTGAACAGCTTCAGCGTGGGTGGCCACGGAGCGGCAGCCCTAGCGCCCGTATGTACATAAGCCCGGGCCCACACCAGCAGCCCACGCTGCATCCCCCAGCGCAGCAACTGCGGGGGCTTCTGGTGAGACCCATGAGGCCGGAAATTGGGAACCAGGCCTCCAGGAGCATCAGGCAGGTAAAAGAGCAGCAACCGCAGGGACTGATCACAGCACAGCAGAACAGAGCTGAGCGTGTGGATGTGCTGGCGAGTGCTGGGCCAAGCGTGTCCGTGCTATACAAGCTGGTGTGGTTGATGCAGCAGAGACCCTTCCCCTGCTGTGTAGGAAATCAGCCAGAAAGTCCAGATGCTTATGCGGGTGAACATAGGTCTACAATGTCAGTGATACCCTGTTATATGTGGCACATTCTAAAATACCCTTACATGGTGACTCCACATACAGTGATCTCTATACAGTGACCATGCCTTAGGGCCTTTGCATTTGCTCTCCTTCCTGGAATGCTCTTCCCATTGATGGCTCACTCCCACATTTCCTTCATATCTCTGCTTATATGTCACCTCATAAGAAAGGCCTTTCCTGAACACCAGATAGAAAATAGCAGACCGTGGCCCCCACCTCCATCATCTCTCTTACTCTACTTTATTTTTCTCCATAGTTCATGTCACTATCTGACATTTTTTCTTTGTTTACTGTCACTTCCTGTAAGATTCATTAGGACAGACTTTATTTTGTCCTCTGAAGTATCTCCGGTGTTAGAAAACTCTCTAGCATGTAATAGGTATGCAAAAATTATTAGTTGAATAAATGAGTAAATATTATCTTCATATCTCTAGCACACAATGGCCCTGTTATAAGTATATCATGTGATATATATATATACACACACATGAATAAACTAATAAACTTTTGACCTGATTCTCTTCGTTAGAATAATAGGATCTTAGGGGTTGTCTATTCCAGCCTCCTACCCAGGGCAGTAATCTCTCCCTCTCCCACATGCCCGACTCCCAGACTTCATCTGAACACTGTGAAGGGCAGCTAACTAATCCACAAGGTGGTCTGTTGTTGTATTGCGCCCAAGTCATCTGTCCTCAGAACCCCACTGAGCATTCCTGAGCCTCTTCCACAAAATATCAGCTCTCTCAGTGTAGGGAGCTTGCATGGCTCACAATGCCCAGCACAGAGGGGGTGCGCCAAACCATGTCATCGAAGGAATGAAGAAATCTGTGCGTTTTGGAGGGGAAAAATTAATTTTCTAATTTTAGTTTTCTTTAAAATGGATACTAATTCAGATGCAGAAAAAAATTATAATCTCAATTTCCTTTGAAATGGGTGCTAATAAAGATGGAGCAAAAATAAAAAGTACGCATTTTTACATAGGTATATGCCTGTGTGTGTGTGTTTCAGCATTTCACATGTGTCGTGTCAAGCACCCCAGGACTCTGAGTGCCCTGAGGGGACACAGGTATGGCAGGAAGCAAAGCCGGTATCTGGTGTTGGGAAGGGACACAGGCTGCCTACAGAACCCAGTGCTTAGGCCTGCAGGTCTTCCCACCAGCATTCACTCCCATCTACAAGGCCTCAGCCTGGAAAACACATTTCACCATTGTTACTCTGTTTCTAAAATCCTTCCGTGGCATTCCGTTTTCAACTACAGGCTAAAATCCAACCTTAGCGGAGCATACAAGGCCTTTCTCAGTCCAGCGTCTGCTCATCCGACGCCCTCATCGCCTGCCGTCCCTCCATCCTGTCCTCCCCTGCTATGACCAGCAAACCCCAGGTTTGCTGCATCTGTTCCTCCTCCTGACCCCTCTCACCCACACTGTCCCCAAAACAAAATCACTGTTGCTGACTCATGATGGGACCCCGAGTGGCTCTTTTCTCTGTTTGTTCATCATGCATCTAGAACTCCCCTCTTCGAGGTAGCACGGTTCGCCTTGAGTTGCTGTTGAACATGGCTCGTCTCCAACACCTCTCCCTGGTATTTTGAGATGTGGCAGTGCTTTCCTCATCTTCTTATGGTGCCTAGATGATGAAAATACTGAGGGCCTCACCTGTGTGTATCTTATGCTCCAGGCACTGTGCTAATGGCCTTGCATACCTTTTCCCAGATCTTCAAAGGAACCTTGCTAGATTGGAATTGTTCATGCCGTTTCACAGATTAAGAAATGGAGGCTCAGAGAAGTGAAGCAGCTCAGCCCAAGCACCAAGCACAGTGAATATCAGCCATGCAGGTCTACTTGTTAGAAAGATCCACGTCCGTCCCACTGTAGTGCAGTGTCAGGGGCCGAAAAACACTCCACATGGACAACATGCTGGGCTTATAATATGGAATCATATTTCTTAGAGTCTTCCTTTTTGTATGTCTCTAAGCGGAACAAGTGTTAGAATCTTTATTGAGAAAATGTGTATTTGCGGTATGCAGGTTCTAACACGCATGTGCGCACACACACACACGGTTGGTGACTGACCCTGTAGCTCTTAATAAGCTGAGTGCCAGATTTGGTCATTCAGCCCTGGTCCACTTAGGATTCAGCTCAAGGAACAAATAACTTTTATGGCATAAATGCATACTCTATTTTCTCCCCCAACAGACAAGCAGCATTTTGAAAGTATCTTAAAGCCCCAGCTTTACCTGGCGTTTTCATCTGACTTTGGTAGCTCATCGTGAACTGTATTCCCAATGTGGTGAAGAAAATAGCGGTCCTCTTGCATCATTTTGTGGAAATATGATTGTAAAAGCCCCATCTATTCCCTGGTGATATCAAAATGGGTTGAATAGCTATTAAAAGTAGCTGGAAGTCTTAATAGTGCTTATTTTAAGCAGAAGAGCATTTCTCATGCATTAATGCAATCATTTATGACTTCCAGATGTTTGGGGTTTTTTTTCTTTTATTATATTTCCTAAAATAAATTTCCAGTTATTCTCCAAGAAAATCTTTTGTACAGATCTGTGCTACTTGAGAAGAATATTTGTGAGTAAACACTTGTGTTTATAATCTTAGGAGAGAAGGGAAAGTGACAGTGGTTGGGTTTATAAGATGCCAAAAGAGCAAGGAAAAAAAGAATGAATTTCAATGCAAATTTTGTTCACATAAAATCACTTAGCTAAAATAGCAGCCTTTGAGAGAGGGGTTTCCCATCCCCCAGATATCTCAGCCTGGGTGTAGGTGCCCCCAACGAGCAAAACCAAGTGTAGCTGAGTATTTAATATTCAGACTAGATGACTTGTAGGAAAACAAGTGACAGTTGGATATTTGTAAGATATAAATTATGCATTGCTGACTTGCCAGTTCTTGGTTTTTTTACTTTAAAAAAAAAAGTCCTGCTGCCTGTGTAATTTTGGCTCATTTCCAGAGTCCGTATTCCTGACTGCTAGCCCAGATGAGCCGCCAAACCCCTGTGCTGTTTGAATTTGCGCAACAATGCTTTAATGCCCAGAGCTCCTCCATAAATAGTCTGTCCTCCCCACACTTGGGGCGAAAACAACCACAGGAAATCTGGGACTGTGCAGCTAGCCCCGCTTAATTGATCTAAGCCTGCCGGGGCCAGCAGGAGAGCGTTCGTGCACACAGCCGCTGTTCCTGGCCTTGCAGGATTGTTCCCCTAAGGGGCAAAGAAGTCTGCATGCAGGAGACACCGTGTTGCTTCCCCAGCCTTGGCAACAGCAGTGGCAGGATTTTTGTTGTTGTTTACGGTCTTCAGAGCCCTACTCCTTTAAGGAAACACAAACTCCTTCCCCTCCTTCCCGACCCCAGTCAGTAACCGTCAAGACTGTCAGCTACCTGCAGTTACCCAGAGCAGCAGCTCGTGGAAATCCTCTTGCCTTTCTCACAGAAGAAAAGTTAAAGGAGCATAGATGGATGGTTGCTTTTTGCATGCAAGTGGCCAGCTAGGATCCAGGGGGCATCAAGCTATGATTTTGATTTCTGGGCTGGGTGCATCTACTGCCACAGCTTGGGAGGTTTCATCCAGAAGGAGTGGAATTGCTGCAGACGTTTGTGGGTTTTGGTGAGCAGTAGATATTTGGAGACGTTGTGCTGTTATTACAGAGCCCCACAATGAAGATTCAGGAGCATCCCAGTGTACCTGACACCAAACTGCAGAGGACTCAAGATGCCGATGACCAGCAGGAGAGCTTTGTCTCTGAAGTGCCTGAGCTCGACCTGACTGCATTGTGTGATGAGAAGAGCTGGGAAGGTAAGATCCTCTGCTATTTGGATGATTTAATATCAGAAAAGCATATATAAAGTAGCCTAAATGAGGGGTGCGTCACCACATGGATGTATGAAAGCGATGGGTGTAGGAGTGACTGCATTTCTAAATGACTGCAAATCCTTTCCCTGGCATAGGAATGTGTCACATTAAATGTTGCCAGGAGTAATTGCAATCTAAGAAAGAAAATGTGCTTGCCCTCTATCGTAGCATCACCTTGCAGCCTTCTTTATTTCTTAACTCACCAGGAGTGCCAATACGTATGTGTGTGTTTCCCCTTTAGTAGTACCGAGTGGAGTACTGAGCAAGCCATACACGCTTAGGACCTCATCTGGGTGTAGCTGCTCTTCCCGCTGCTACATGCCAACCAGCTACCTCCTTCATGAAATCTCCTTCCCATTTTTTTCAAGAAAGATGTTTCGGTTTGCTTTGCTTCTTTGTTTTTAATGGATAGCATTTTTTAAAAGCCAGGTTAGCCAGCATAAGGGATTTGCTCCTCAGAGAGAACACTGAATAAAAAATGCTTCCGAGGGAAAGCCTGCAATAATACAGTGTTTAAGGTTGGTTTTTCTGGAGATTTTTGGCAAATCATTAGACATGTACTTGTGAGGAAGAAGAGGGTGTCCTCATCTTGTCAAAACTGCATTTCAGGAAGATGCTTGCTACGGTGTCATCAAGCTGCTCTTCCTCCCTTATCCCTGTGTCTGCATCCGGACCTATCTCAGTGTATCCAAAATGCATGCCCAGCTGCCTCTGTGCACTGGGTGTGTTTGGAGGCTACAAAGAGGGAGAAATCGTGCGCCTGGTTTCAGAACAACAGCACGACTTAACACAGTGACAGAGAGAATCACAGCTACAAGACATCAGTCCTTTTCCTTGAAGCACCTGGATTTCCTCGTCTTCTCCCCACCCCTTTTTAAACCAAACAGTACTCATTGTGATAATGAGTTTAGATGAAGGAGCAAAAGACGGTCTAAAGAGACCACAAAGTGAAAAAATAGCAATCCCTTTATGCTCCTTGCATCCAGGGCTTGGTGACATGAAAACAAACTGTTTTTTTATTCTAGTTCTCCCTCTTTGCAATCCAAGAAACATGTTCTAGCCCTTTCCCATGTAATTAGGCAGTTGGGTAGGAGATTTTCTCAGACCTTCCCAGCTCATGATACGGTCACTAGAAAAAATTGCAGGGTGTTTTGTTTTGTTTTTTTTTAATTTCAGTGATACATTCCTGGGTAGTGTTTTATTGTTCTTCTTTTGTTTTGTGGACTTTGGAATATTCAGGTGTGTTTTAAATTCATTGAAAACAACCCCCCCCCCGCAAAAAAATAAGTCCCGTAGTAGCCGCTGTTACCCAAATAAAAGAAAAAAGCAGTAGCTAAAACAAGTACTGTATTTGGGTTTCACTAATACAGTCTCCACACAGAACTCTAGACAAAAACTAGGATTTTTGGACAGAATTCAAATTAGCCACGTTACCTTGGTATATTCAGTAAAGGGAGCAGGGAGCTTCATCTAATCCCCCCTGAAATGGACTCAGTTTGGTGATTTTTATCTTAGTCATAAATTTGTGATCTCTTCCAGCAGATGTTAAGAGGGCAGTATGAAAATTCCCTCCAGTGTGGTTGGAAGCTAACTTCCCTTAAAACTGTTTTATTACTTAATGTAAAGAACTCTCTTCTAGATAATATAATAATAATAATAATAATAATAATAATATGAAGGAACCAACATTTTATGTTGGTCTGTGACCAAATTATGTTATCCATAATTTTATGGTATATTGGGAAATAAGGTGGAATTTTAAAAAGCTTATGGGAGGGGAATGCAGTAGGCTTGGAAATGCTAATTATGTTATCTATGTAATTTATGAAAGGACTTGTGTTAACTTTTGCCAATTACTGCCTTACTTCCTGAACTTGCGCATCTTAAAACCCTACACGGATTCATTTCAAGGCCATTTGATCATTTGGTTACTGCTTTCAGTGGCCATTTTTTATCATATATTTATTTTAAATTTTCACCTTACATTATAACAGTAAGTATAATCAAAATAAAGGAATTGTTGCGTAAAGGATAGTTCAGATGAGAGCCATGAGTCCAATCACTAAAATATTACCTTTTTTTTTATAGCTTCACTAAGAAACGCACAAAATGGTAGCTTTGCAGTAAGGAATCCACTTTGCACTAATTTAAGCTGTGAAAGTGAAACCAGGGCAACAAAATATAAAAGGAAGTAATAGTTAAACCTTCTGAGCCAGAATCCGCGTGTAAGTCTCCATTACCAGTCTCCGAGCCACCATGTAGTGTAACCCCCTCTTTTTGGTTTGCTGGTCTGTTCCCCGTCCCCACACCGTAGGTCTCACTCTCTCATTACAGAAGCGTAGAATGTCAGGTGAGTACTCAATGAGCAGCCTGCTGGTGCTAGCCTCAGCAGGGGAAGCTCCCATATGGCAATGACGTTCTGGGGCTTCTGGGGCATGTTGTATCAAGGCAACAAAAAAGGAAATAAACCTAATAATTAGATAGAGTGGAACCCTCTCAAAGTGAACACAGGATCAGAGTCTAATCATGCTTGTTGGCAGATACATAATACATGCTTTTTCCTTTTTTTCCTCTCGCTCTGTATGTAGCTATGTATTAGGGCACATTTTTTTACCTATCCACATCATATTACCATTTTATTACTTCCACTCTCCAAAATTAAATGAGTACACAAATCAAATGTACTATTATTTGTTATGTAAACCTTTCAGAATTGTATAATCAGAATGTTCCTAATCAGCCAATTCATCTTGATTTAGGGGTACCATTTGTGGAAGTATTGAGGTTTAAATACTCAGCTATTCTATTAACATTGTCCTGGTGAAGTTAAGCTTAAAAGAACATTTTTAAAGGACATAAAATACTTTGTATTTCTTATTTATTACTCACTACTTGTCCAAAATAACTTTGGAAATTCTCTGAAAGAATGATGAAGAAGCAAGGGATCCTAAAGACCTTTTGACGGGACACTGCCATTATATAGATAAGAAAGTTGAGGCCAAAAGAAGCAAAATGATGATTCAAGATAACGAAATCTCCTGACATCCTCTCTGATGCCCCTTTCTCAGCAATGCCAGTTATGTATCCTGGCAGGCAGGGGGCCATAATGGCTAAGACCAGGCAGCTTTAGCAGCTTTGTGGACAAGTTAGTAAATGTGTTACAGTTTCGGCCTCAGTTTCTCCATCTTTAAATAGTCATAACAGGGGTGCCTGGGTGGCTTAGTCAGTTAAGTCTTCAGCTCAGGTCATGATCTCAGGGTCCTGGGATGAGTCCCACATTGGGCTCCCTGCTCAGCACAGAGTCTGCTTCTTCCTCTCCCTCTCCTTCCTCCCCCCTGTTCATGCTCTGTCTCTCTCTCTCTCTCAAATAAATAAATGGGTTTTTTTAAATAGGCATAACAAAAGATAATAATGAGTAAACAGATATTGTAGTATTCACTTAGTAAGTTTGTTGCAAGGATTAAGTGAGCTAATATTTGCAAAGTGCTTGGCACAATACAAGCACCTAACAGGCACTATGTGAGTGTTAGTTGATGTTATTACTGTCTTCCATAAATGTTTCCAAATATAGTTTCAGGAAAAACCAGCCTAAGTTGGACTTCTTTGAAACCAGAGCCTGGTTCTACCTAATGACAGTGGGTGGCTCTGAACACAGAGAAGGAGTCCGTAATTACTGGGTCCTCCACTGTTGACCAATGACAGATCTTACCAAACCAGCATCCTTGTGTGTGTGTGTTTGTGTGTGTGCCTCTGGGTTAGGAAATGTCACATTTGAAAAGACCTCAGCTGGGCCTTTAACAGGGACTCCGGTGCCCTGTCAGATGTGGAAAGAATAGCAGACAGTCAGGTAACAGAGTGAATTAGTAACTGATTAAGCATGCAGATACACAGATCAAAGTTGACACAAATTGGGGTCTTCTCATTAGCAAAGTCCTCAGCTCTAGCCTGTTCCACACATTTTATTAATGACTTAAATGGAGCAATTAAGGGCCTACTTATTACATTTGCAAATAGAGACAAAGCAGATATATGAAATGTAAGGATTAAACTGGGATTGACAAAGCTGACTACTAAGGTTCCTTCTAACTCTGATAGTTTGCAAGATTATTTGAACAATTTAATAGGACTACTATTGTTCTAAGGTTACGTTTTGGAATACTAAGGAAATTTCTGTAATAGGATTTCCCTCCCGGTGGGGTTTACATCTTCCAGTGTCTGGGATGTGCACATACCTCCTCGTACCACCGAGGAGCCACCTTGAAAGACGGTATGACATCGTGCCAGGAAGTAATGACTCTAAATAGCATGTAGTTGGAAATGAGAAGTGGAAAACATCAGCTCCCTTAATTCTGGCAGATTTCTTCAATAAATCATCTTAGTAGCCAGTTTTCTTTTGTATAGCAGATGGATCCAACTGGCTAAGCAGAGAGTAGCTGTATCGCAATGACCACATTAATATTACTCAGAACCATGTTTCTTCTTCCTTCCGGGAATTTCCTTTATTTCCGTGTGTACTGTACTGTCTCAATTGGAACTCCCCCAGGATCTATTCTTTTCGATTACTTAGGTAGCATGAGTACAGCTTTTATCTCTGTTACTTCTGACCTGCTGTGATGTCAGCTGTCCTGGTGGATTAATTTTTCATAGAGAGACATGCCATATTTATGTCCAGAGTTCTTTGTGACAAGACACGTGACTCAAATCACGGAACTTAAGGAATTCTGGTCTGGATATAAAAACACATTTCTTTTATGTGGTGCTTTAAGATGAAAATCTAATTCAAAGCCTCAAATCTTTTCTGTTTTCCCTTTGAATACTTTTCTTGGAATATCTTTGTCCATTTCATTGCTCTAGAATTACTGATTAAAATATAAACTATTTCTCAGACTAAGCACCGGGAATGGTCAATGAATACATTCTCAAAACTGAATCTCTAGGCAGGCAATGCAATTGGCATCCTGTCCTGTACTACACTGTTCTTTTTTTGGTTCTTTCTTCTTTGTCTAGCTAAGTGCCAACTGTCAAAACATGAGTAGGCCTTGTATTTTTAGATCATTACAAACTAAAAGAATAGTTGGTTCTACTGATTTAGTTATGTTGAACTATATATTATGTGTAATTTTATAAATTATAAGAGCCTTAAATTTTAATTCTGTAGGAAAAAAGGGAACAGTGAGATCTTGCCCTTTACAACAACACGGATGGGCCTAGAGGGTATTAAGCTAAGTGAAATAAGTCAGGCTGAGAAAGACAAATGCCGTATGATTTTACTCATGTGGAATTTAAGAAACAAAACAAATGAACAAGGGAGAAAAAGAGACAAAAAACGGACTGTTACCTACAAACTGGTGGTTGCCAGAGGGAAGGTCGGGGCGGAGGGGGGGATGGTATCCATAGATAATACGGATAAGAGTGCACGTATCTTGATGAGCACCGAGTAATGCAGGGAATTGTTGAATATTATACACCTGAAACCAAATAACACTGTATGTTAATTATATTTCAATAAAGTAAATGAATAAACCCATGGAAACCAAAAAAAAAAAAAAAAAGGAGAGAGAAGAGAGAGAAATGCAAGCATTTCATGTTGCATGGGTGAGAAACTTCACTTCTGTACTGCATGAATACTAACGATGCAACGTAACCTTTTATTTTGTTAATTGAAATTCATAATGGTTTTACATTTGTCAATTTTTAGTGAATTCATTTATGCTAACTATATCCTTTAAGAGAAAATGTCACCCATAAGCTCGAATTGCTTCAGCTGTGTATTTCATATATACCGTTGGTGACGTCAAGAAAAGGGCACGTTGGGTCTTCTTATCAGTCAAGTGAGTGGTCAAGAATGGGCCTGTGTTAACACAAAGAAAATCTGATGAATGGCTCCACAAAGCATCAAACAAGCATAACTCAGTTCCGTGATTAGTGTTGTGTCGTTAATTCAGGATCACAATACATTTTTTACTGGAGACCTGTTTGGATAATGGTCACAGACACTCAGTTTGTACACTGAGGCCACATAATTGAAAACTGAAAGATGAGTTGTGATAGTTCTAAAGAGATATTCTGCTAGGTGCAGACAAATTAAAGGATTTCAGGATCTAAGCTAACACCTATTCAAACTAAACTGCGATGAGTAGAAATGTCCAACCAGCCAGCACACCCACATGCCAATACCAACATCAGACTTTGCTTTTCCTGTGCCCTCTGTCCCCTCCACGCCACCTTGGCCTTCCCCACCTTGTTTTGCTCCTTTGCCACTCTGCCATGAGGTTATCACTGGCTGCATCTTAACCCTTTCCCTGCCTGGCTCTATTGATATTAGTCCTTACAGAAAATCACTGCTGTCTTAAGAATTACCACGAAATAAAAAATACAGTCTGGCCAGTTTCCTGGTTCCATTTTCGGTAACTTAACACTACACTTTTCTTATTTCTCTAGGGATTATTTTCCTCTTACCCTCTCCTTCCCTCACTTCTCATCGATTTTTTTTGCTCTTTTATGCCAGGAGTTTGGAGCTGCTCATATCTGAGCCCTGACACTTAGGAGGAGCCTCCTGCAAGCTTTAGTGCAAATGAGGGGGCACCTCCTGGTCACCTCCAGCGTTAGCCAGATATATCTACCAGAATATTCCCTGCCACTTTTTGAGAGTAGCAGATAAAAATTTGTTTTAACACTGCTTTAATTTTTTAAAAAATAATTTATATTACCATCTGAGTTCCCAGATAACTTCATTCTCTTTAAATTTTGAGAACCTATGGACCTCATTCCACATGAGGTTAATTTTTTTTACATTAATATGCTTATCTCTCCTACTGTGGGATCTTCAAAAATTTCAGATAGCCATCCTTGTGATTAGAGCATCTGGCACATACTAAATTGAAGCACTGTCCCTCAAGTCAGGAGATTTCGTTTTCGTCCCAACTCTTGTCGTTGATTAGATTTGCTCTTAAATTCTTAAATTAGATTTGGTCTTAAATTCTTTGGGTTTCCATTTCCTTGTCTATAATCTGTTGGATTGAATCCGTGGTTCTTAAACCTGATGCATTTAGGATCACTTGGGCAGCTTTTAAAGTACGCTTGGGGGGTGGGGCAGGTATCTGGGCCCTCACCTAAATATTCTGTTTCGTTGGGGGGGGGGCAGTGAGAACCTGTGCATTAGAAGTTATGAGTATCTCCCTTCGTGATGCTAATGTGCAGCGGGGTTGAGAAATCACTAAATTAGTTAATGTATGAAGTTTTAACCAGCTCTAATGTTCTATGATTATGATACGATCTTTTTATTTTTTTAAAAGATTTTATTTATTTATTTGACAGAGAGAGACACAGTGAGAGAGGGAACACAAGCAGGGGGAGTGGCAGAGGGAGAAGCAGGCTCTCTGCCGAGCAGGGAGCCCCATGCGGGGCTCGATCCCAGGACCCTGGGATCATGACCTGAGCTGAAGGCAGACGCTTAACAACTGAGCCACCCAGGTGCCCCTGATACGATCTTTTTAAATAAAATACTGAACAGGCACTTGTGTAAGATAATTTTGTAGATCTGATAAACACTTTGATAGCTGAAGGAACAAATGTTGCTCTAGGAATCCCAGAATTTCAGAGCATGGCCAGATCCCAGCCTTGTGTAAGTCACAGTAATCCATAAGTATACTTGAAGCATACCTTTTTTTTTTTTTTTTAAACTCAGGGACTGCTACAGATGAAATACCCTACATCATCTGAGATCTATCTTTAAAATCTGATAGGATTTTTTTTTTAATGCAGAAAGGAATATATTGAGATGGGTCTTGAAGGAAAGAGAAATAAATATCACCCTGTTCATCCAAAAATGACAAATCAGGATGTTGTGTTCAGTGCGTTTTTTTTTTCTTAAAGACTATCTAAAATAATTTGTACAGATTTACCCTTTGTAAGACATCCTTTTTCTTTTTGTTTTTGACTAATTTATGTAAGCATCTTAGGTTAACTGTAGTCTTGAGCAGCTTCTGAAACTTCAAGTGCAGAACATGCATCTTACACATACTAATCCCAGCACTAAGCAGAAGCACATGAACAGCTTACTGAAAGCCCCAAATGGAAGGTGCAAACTCCTAGGTAAATGGGCTCTCGCAAGACAAATGTGACTCCCTGGTTGTTTCAGTGAAGGACGTATAGCCCATGATGCCAAATCTTTCTCTCCCTGGCATACATGCTTTTCTTCTCCATAATACCCTCACCTGGAAAAGGTCTTGCCTCTGACCTGTGGGGGAGGTTGGAAGCATAAACCATTTGTTCTCCTTCCTCAAGGCCGTTCCTCCGGGCAACCCTAGTAAATTCTCTTTGGAAAGCAAGTGAGGACTTAAGAGATATATTGATGATTCCAGTCGGGGAATAGTGTCCTTCATCGGAACCTTAAATCTGAAACGTGAGGTCGTTCAGTGCCTCCTAAATTCAGTGCCTCCCAAGCCATTCAGAAAACTTAGGAAACAATTATGCTTTCCTGAACAATTTTGACTTCTTCCCCTCCTTATTTTCCAGAACCCCTCCCTGCCTTCTCATGGCAGCAGGAGAACGTGGACTCGGATGAAGCGCACCTCTCCCCGCAGGCTGGGCGCCTGATTCGCCAGCTTCTGGATGAAGACAGTGACCCCATGCTCTCTCCTCGGTTCTATGCTTATGGGCAGAGTAGGCAGTACCTGGATGACACAGAAGTGCCTCCTTCTCCCCCAAATTCCCATTCTTTCATGAGGTATGTGTGTGTTGCTGATAAGCAAATGTATCATCGCTGTCACGTCAGAAAGAATAGGAATGGTGTTGATGGCTGGCAGGTTTTTTTAACTATGTTGTAAGTCTGTGGAAGAACATATTGGGAATTCTCCCTCCTAGTACACAGGCCGTGTTGTAATTTTTCGGTTGGCCCAACTACATCGCTGCATACTGAATTTCCACTAGCACATCCTCTCCAGAGCGATCTAAACTTTAACTCTCAGGTCTGCAGTGTATATCTCAGTCCTACCTTTGCTAACTGTAAATGTGAGTGAGAGGAAGTTAGGCCGATTTGATAGGTGGGACATAGAGAGCTCAGGGTCACAGAATGAATGGGTGGTCCCCTTTCCTTTATACGGGAAGACGGAGACTGTCTGGACCCTCTCCCTCCGTGCTGCATCCCCATCCCCAAGCCCCTCAGCAGGCAGCGAGTGCCCCAACCTCTGCCCCTCCCAGGCGCCGGAGCTCCTCTCTTGGGTCCTACGACGACGAGCAGGAGGACCTGACACCTGCCCAGCTCACGCGAAGGATTCAGAACCTTAAAAAGAAGATCCGAAAGTTCGAAGATAGATTTGAAGAGGAGAGGAAGTACAGAGTAAGTGTCTCCTCACAGGGTTGTCCCTGTCCGCTCCTGCCCCTGACAGTGCCCACACGCCAGCATGTTAGAAACTCAGAGAAGGGATCAAAAGTTAAGGGAGATTTCTGGGGAGCCCCAACACAAAAAGGCAATAGAAACTGGCTAGTAAACCCTGAGATGCCCCAGACACCATGTATCAGCATTTTCCTTACACAGGGTATTCTTACAAATATGATTGAACATTTTAGTTGACCTCTTATAAACGTAACCTTGTGAAGAAATGGGAAAAATCATTAAGTGACTCTTTATTTTGGCTCAAACTTAATTCAAGATTATCTTCTAAAATTTCATTAGTATTTACCTCATTCTGCTCTCAGCTCTACCTTAGCGTTGCCCACAAGAGTGGCAGAAAGGCACTTTGCATGGTGATTCCAGTGTAGGATGTATGTCCCCTCTGCTTTCCATCCTGTTAGCCTGACAGCTTAAACCCTACAACTCATGAAAAGGGGCCATGGACTTCACGGAAGTCCAGCATTTTGCTGAGGAATTCTCTGAAAGCATCGAAAATAACCAGATGTAAAGAAAGATAATGGAATTATACTGATGACATTTGCTCTAATTGTTCATGATGAATTTCTTTTTCCGGTGGGACTCAACCTTCTCTTCCTCTTTAAAACAAACTAATCACGGGGTGCCTGGGTGGCTCAGTCGGTTAAGCATCTGCCTTCAGCTCAGGTCATGATCTCATAGGTCATGGGATCGAGCCCCACATTGGGTTCCCCGCTCAGTGGGGAGTCTGCTTGAGATTCTCTTTCCCTGCTCTTTCTCTGCCCCCTCCCCCCACTCGCACGCATGCACACTCTCTCAAATAAATAAACAAACCTAAGATAAAAGACATAAAATAGTATAAAACTATGTATTGAAACCACCCAAAACAATAAAATTATCTTCTCTTAAAAAAAAAGAGGGGGGTGGGCACCTGGGTGGCTCAGTCAAGTTGAGCATCTGCCTTTGGCTCAGGTCATGAGCCCAGGGTCCTGGGATCGAGCCCCACATTGGGCTCCCTGCTCAGTGGAAAGTCTGCTTCTCCCTCTGCCCACCCCCCTTGTGTTTTCTCTCTCCCTCTCTCACTTTCTGAAAAAAATAAATAAAATCTTACAAAATTAAAAAAAAAATTAAAACAAACTGATCATCAAACTCATCTTCTTTTTCCTGCCCCAGTTTGCAAACATTTACATTCAATTTTGCTTTTCTCAGCCTTCTCATAGTGACAAAGCAGCCAATCCAGAGGTTCTAAAATGGACAAATGACCTTGCCAAATTCCGGAAACAGCTTAAAGGTAGGTGACGTTGTAGACCTATGCCATGGTTTCAGTAAGACAAGCCACCTGCAGGATTCATGATCTCACCACATCCCGAGTGCCCCTGTTGAAATAGTTCAGAAAGACAAGTTCCTTGACGCTGCTTCCCAGCGCTCCCGGTGTTCAGAGGACACCTTCCCCACGTCTCACCATGCTCTCCATCACAGGGCAACCTGGATTAGCTAAGATGCAAATGCTGCAGCATTTCCCCATCTCCCTAACTCATGAATTTTTATTTGCTGTGGTGTTAGGAGAAGACCTGTAAGCACGGAGGAATATAAAAAGGATTGGGTCCTTGTCCCTCAAAAAGCATGCTGTCTTTTAGGAGATAGTCATATAAACAACCAAATGGAATACAAAGGGAAAATAATGCCAAAATGACGTATGTAAGTTATCTGGAAAAAGTTGGCCAGCAGTTGGGGGTGCTGGATCAGTCAGTCGATGCTGTTAAACAGTAACGGAGTGGGTATAGAACCATCTGCCACATTCTGAGAACAGCAAACCTATTGGTGTGGCTAAAGCATGGATGTTACATAGCTAAAGCTTTCTCAGGAATTTGGGTTAGGGAATTATTCCAGCTAATCCAAGAAGATGTTAGCATTTTCTCAGGTTTTACATAATAACCCAGGGATTTCGACTACTGTTATAATTAGATACTTTCCCAAAAAAGATGGGGCTAAATGGTTAGTAACACCACAGAAAAACAGTTGGGGTTCAGCAGACATCAATTCTCATATGTCACCACCCCCAAACGTTTTTAAACTAGAGTCCAAACTAAAGATATCTGAAGAAGACCTAAGCCCCAGGATGCGGCAGCGAAGCAACACGCTCCCCAAGAGTTTCGGTTCCCAGCTTGAGAAAGAAGATGAGAAGAAGCAAGAGCTCGTCGATAAAGCCATAAAGCCTAGCGTTGAAGCCACACTGGAATCCATCCAGAGGAAGCTCCAAGAGAAGCGGGCAGAAAGCAGCCGTCCTGAAGACATTAAGGTGTGGGGATTCGGGGGCGGCCCCAAGCTAACTGCTAGTCAACATGGTGGCAACATAGGGCCCGACACATGGTCCCGGTGGGAAGAGGGATGCGGCGACGCCTGCTCAGACCTCCCACGCCCTGGTCTCCCACACCCTTAGATGTCTAGAGAAGCAGATGGAACAGCCTGAGAGTGTTTTCAGTGCTAGTACTTTGGTTTATGATGACATATTGAAAGCAGAACACTCTCATGTAGAGATCGCAGAAAGAACTCATGCAGGTTAACAGATGATTTGATGACTCTAGAGTAGAAGGATTGTAGACGAACCTTTGGGGCTGTAGTCCTGGCTTGGGCCATTCAGCTAAGCCCCACGTGCCTCGCAGCCCCGCTTACCTCATCCTGCCTTTGCAGCCGTGTGGGACACACAAGGAGTTGATGGCGACTCTGCTGTGCTAGCTCTTTCACCGGCAGAAAGCCGGGACGAGCTGACTCCTAAGCAAGCTCTGAATAGAGCCCGTAGGAACGACTGTAGGAGGATACTTTTTAACCTTACTCGAGGAAATTTGTCTACAGAAAGAAGTAGGAGTGCTCGCAAATGTTTCCCCATCTTTCATTTCTCTCTCCTTGTGTTTATTCAGGATATGACCAAAGACCAGATTGCCAATGAGAAGGTGGCTCTGCAGAAAGCTCTGTTATATTACGAAAGCATTCACGGCCGGCCGGTATGTGAATGTACTGGGTTTCCTGATTGGGGTCAACTGTGTCGCTTTAGAAATCAATCTTCTGTGTTCAGTATTTGACATATGAGTTTTCCTGACGTTTAGGAGATGCCTACAGATTTTCAGCAGACCCAAGCTCTCTGGTGGCTAAACTGAGGAGAGACTTAAGCTGTGGAACAGATGCTGGATTTGAGTTCCAAAGAAACATGAGTTTGCAGCTAACATTTAGTCACTACTGTTCTGCTTCAGGGGGACAGTGGTGGAGGGGGTGTAGATTACAGATGCACGCACAAGGCCCTAGAGACTCCCCTGTCCCTAGGTCTGCCCCCATACGCTGTCACTGGCTCGAGGCATTCTTGTCCTTAAAATGAAGGTGTTAAACTAGTATGATTTGCCCTAAAATTCAATCTCTCTTCAATGTAGCCGTGGCCAGTGTTTATCTGTAGAGAAGTTCCAGCCACCATCCTAAACCAAAAGTGTGAGGAATCCAAAATAGGACTTTGCCTTTTCATAGCAACAGGAAGCATTGAAAGTGATTTGTTAATCAGCAAAGCATGGTTATTTTGTGTTTGTCATTAGTCCTGGGCGGGGGGGGGGGGAGGGCAGTGGCACGAGAGGCTTCTGCTCTATTCCTTAAGAAACTCGTAATCAGATACCCTTGTCAGTTACTCTCCGTGACCTTCTGTGGAGAGTGTTGTCAAGAACCCAACAAAACAAGTTCTTAAGAGCAGCTATAAAGGAGCGTGAAGTTTATATTCACAGAAGGATTTGTATACAGCCAAAATGCAGAGGTCTCTCTTCCAGTCACAGGCATGGCTATATAATGGAGATGGTATTTGCATATAAAATACACTCTTTTGAATAAAGAAGGTCCCAGAAGAATGTGCTAGACCTTAAGATCTGTGAGGGCCGGAATTTTGTTCACCTGATGGGGCACCTGATCCTCGGCATCTAGCACAAAGACCTGACACGTACCATGTGCCCAATAAACTGTCTGTAGAATGCATCCTCCATCGTATTTTTGGTTCTGAATTTATCAGGTTTAAATTAAAAAATAAAAAAAAAAAGGCTAGAGCTGCTGATGATTGATTTTACTGGCCTGTCCCTACAGCGGAAAAATACTGGTGTTCTGGGATAATGGTCATGTTTCAGACCAAGTTGTGTTTTGGATTTTTTAAAGGCACTGAACCAAATAGTAAAGGCAGTGGAGCTCAAATATATTGTGAAACTTGTCCTTTTCTCCTGGAGGATTCAGAACTTGCAGAAGTAGAACTGAACTCCTTCTAGCAGAGAGAAGCCCCTTCTCCACTGTCGGCTCAGCGCCTTTTAAGTATAGATCTCCTCATGGCCACGAGGCAGGTGCGGAAGGAGGGGGGAGTTGTGTGCTTTCCTTCTCAGCATTTCTTCTTTTTCTCATGTGGGTTCACATCCGACATTGATAGACTCCTTTAAGGACTGCTTTGCCTGAGGCCCCACGATCTCTCAGCTGCTTTCTAGTCCCAACCTTTAAGGCCAGTTCGAGGGCCCGGATGCCGGGTATTTGTTGCTCAAAGTTGGACACAGAGCCTCTCATTCTGCCTGGGCTGAAGGGATGGGCAGGGACTTGTGTCCGCAATCCTAGTTTCAGATCCCAGCCCTACTGAGACCAGCCCTGGAGCTACCTCCTATGGAGGTAGGAGTCCAGGGCTTTGATTATACCATCAATAGCTGTCTGTTATAGGTTGTCATGGAGACCAACGGGCAGTTCAGACACGCGCAGGCACATTTACCTGTGGGCTGTCTGGCACTGAGGAGGTGGGCTGGCTGGCTTGGCAGGTGGCTCAGGGGGTGCCCAGTCAATGATGTTGTCACTTCTGCTACAGGTACATGTTCTGCTATCTGCAGCCTACTTCTTATTAAGTGATGAGCTCAGGAGAGAGAACGTACCTTGTTTTAGCTCTCTTATCATTAGGAATATGAAATCTTAGTTCTTGGCCCTGCTCTATTATTCTCTGTCCTCTCAGTGTTCTTTTAGATGTTGGAAGAACACCTTTTTGGGTCTGCATTCTAGCATCTCATTGGGCAGGGAACAAGTTCTCTAGAACTTTGAGTGGCATTCGTTGCTGGTTCATGGTTAGACTCTCTGCCTCTCTGGAACTTGATGCTCCAGCCTCCTCAGGAAAAGTGGAGTTCATTTGATATCTGGCCAGTGTGAAAAATCAAACAGTAAACTTTTCATTCTTAGGTCTGTGGTGTTGCCATGGACCCTGAACTCTAAATACCATTTGGGCAACACTCTTTTGTTTGTTTATTTGTTTGTTTTTAGAAAAGCACGTGCTCAAAGCTCATGGGTTTTTGCTGAGTCTACAGATTCTGATTTGAAAGGACAATGAGTGACGGACTGTCAGAATCGCAGACCAAAGCCGTTGTGTGCGGCTCTTGTACATTTTTTAAACAAGGCGTTTTGCTTTAACAGTGCACTCCACAGAGTGACACGTGAATGAAAAGCAAAACACACTCATTTACACAGGGGCACATAAATCCCTACTAATTATTAAGAAAGCACGTCCTTTCAACATTTAAAGTTCTCATCAAAAGATGATCATAGAAAGTACAACACATAACTGCAGGTCACCATATTACAGACCACTCCTTGATGGGAACGTAGAAGGAATGGGTTGCTTGCTCAGAGCTTCTGGTTTCTTCCTGAGTCTCTTCCTTATCAGGATATTTTCATGTTATGTTTTAATATCTTGGGAACTAACATGACACTGAACACACTCTGTTCAAATTTAAATGCAAACTCTGAAGGCTTAAATAAATACTGCCCTTTGGCTCTCTGCTATTTGGGATGATCTGATCTTTGCCCAGTCTATTATTTTTACCTGATAATAAAGAGGAGAGAGTTACCTCTTTCTGAGTCGATGGGCCAAGATGCAGTCATTATAAGAATCCATCTCATTTGTCTTCTCCTGCTGGTAGTTTTATGACTCAGGAGTACCCCTCCACACAAACTCAAACCACTTGTTTTGCTAAGAAGATTTTGAGGCTGTATAGTTTCTTGTCTGCCTGTGGCATGATTTCTCACAAAATGGTGCTTCCATGCCACTGTTTATAGCTAGAACTCAACCTAGGCAGAGCTCTGTGCTTGGAAGGCAGAATTCTCTACATTAAGAAGACAACGTGGTCAGACCCTATTAGAAGAAAATGCTTCATTGTGACATTTCTAGTATGTCTTCACTGTGTTAAGATCCTACTTTACTTCATGTCTTATTTGTGAATGGAAAGAAAACTGAACTGGGAGTCCGTGAACCTGGGTTCTTGACACAAATCTATTGCCTTGGGCAAATCATTACCCTCTCCAGGGCTTTGTTTCATCGTATGAAAAAATAAGGCTTTTCTAGCTCTGATATCCCAGGGTTCTAATTCTATCTTTATCTTCACATTAAAAGGATCAGTCATTTTCTCTTTCACCTGTGTAGCACTGTCCAGGTAACAGAGTCCAGATGGGTGTTGCAGTAAGGAAGTTTTATTTGAGGCTAAGACAAAAACCCTCACAAAAGATAAAGACAGGCAAATGCGGTTGTCTAATTGGTCCTTTGTAATTTGTGTCCAAGACTTTCCTCTATTTAAATGTGGATTAATTATTGGTTGGTGTTCCCTTGGTCCCTGGAAATATTATCTGAGACTTTACAGAGCAACCAAATAGCATAGTAAGAGATCAGTCGTTGAAGATTTCTTTAATCAAAAACAAAAACCGGAGAGCCTGGGTGGCTCAGTCAGTTAAGCGTCCGACTCTTGATTTCGGCTCAGGTCATGATGCTCAGCATGGAGTCTACTTGAGATTCTGTCTCTCCCTCTCTCCCTTCCCCCGCTCATGTGTTCTCTAGATAGATAGATAGATAGATAGATAGATAGATAGATAGATAGATAAAATCTTTTTTTTTTTTTTAAAGCAAAGACAGAATGGGAGGTGCTGCCTTCGCCCTTTAGATGTTAGCATCTAGGTTTTTATGTTGTTCTGACTTGTGTGCAAAAATACATCTTAGTGTAATAAGCCTATTCCCACACACTGGAAAACCATTCAGAGCTACCACCTACCTGAATGAAAATTTAGTAAAGGTTTGAGGCAAGAGGAGTGAAAGTGTAATAGAAAATACAATGTATTACATGCTTGGCCTAAGGTCATTTCCAAGCAACTATAGATCATAAAGATTTTCTAATATTAATTTTGCAGTTTACCAATCAGGAAATCAAGGTTCAGAGAATTTTACTGGCTCTTTCAAAGGCCTGTTTTCCATCAATAACAGAATCTCCAAGCAGCCAATGACTCAAGAATAAGAGACAGCAACTTCCAAACAGTTTTCCCATGGTCCATTTAATATCAGGTCACCCTTTTTTTTTAACAGTTCAGCCAAGACCCTGCTTTGTTTATGGAACTATTGGTTAGATTTTGGCTCTACTAACAAATCCAGTTCTGATAATTGCATGTGATGTGGTTTTATGATGAGTGAAAGTTGTATCAACTTCTAGTATCACCAAGCCTTTGGCTTCAGATATATATCATGAAAATAATTATGGTGTAAATCAAGTAGTGTTAATTCTTTCCACCCCTCAGATTTAAAGATCTTTAATATTTCTGGTGTTTAGACACTTCTATCAAATGCCAGTGTTAACTTTGGTGGAATTATGATGGGCTTAGCTCTCCAGAGTCAGAAACTGGACTTTATCAAATCACTCACAGGTGATTAGTTCCTGAGGATCATCAATTTAAAACTATGAGCAATTCGTAGAAAATCTAAATATCAGTGTCATAAGCCAAATAATTAAACCAAGGATCCTCTTCATCTGCTCCAACTGAAAATTTGAACAAAGAATTAGAGAGGAAACTGGCTTCTGTCAAATTTGCCACATCTGGCTGGTTTTACTAGCAAAGTCTCCTTCTAAAATTCAGACTCTCCTTTTACAATCCAAAAATGTTTCTGCCAAGCAACAAATAATAGGATACGAGTCCACAATGGGGAAATGCTAGCTCCTCATTATTTTTATTTTTCGTATGTCTTTTGGTCACTAAACCATCAGTTGTTTATCTTGCACAATAATATCACCACATGTCATGTGTTGACAATTAGGATGTGCCTTAACCTCATCTGCAACACATTTAATGGATACATCTTGTATTTAAAAAGGTATTCCATGTGTTCCAGTCCTAAATTTTATCGTTTCACACGTGCGATTGTACAAGTCACTCCATTTCTACTCCTCAGACTTACCTGCGGCTGTTGAACTCTTGTTGAAGTATAACCTAAATACAGAAAGAAGCGCAAATTGTAAATATGTATCTTGATGCATTTTCACAAAGTAAACGAGTCCAGGTAATTAGCATCCAGACCAAGAAATAAATGTTGCCAGTCCTCCAGAAGCCCTGCTCCTTGTCCCCTTCTAGTCAATACCATGACCTCCACTCCATGAAGGAAAACCATTATCTTGACTCTAAAGCTGTAAATTCTTTTTGCTTATTTCTGAACTTATGTAAGTGGAATCTTATAGTACGTATTCTGTAGTATCTGGCTTATTTTACTTGGCTGTCTTTTTGTGAGATTAATTTATGATGTTGCCTATAGCTGTGGCCCATTCATCCTCATTACTGTGCAGTATTCAGTTTGGGCAACATATCCATTCTGTTGCTGGGCATATGGGTGGTTTCCAGTTTATGGTTAAAAGTAGTGCTGCTGTGAACATTAGTCGGTGTGTCTTTTGGTGAGCTAGCGGCCATACTTGGTTGTTGTTGTTTTTTATACTTAAGAGTGGAACTGAGGAATCACATGCTCAGCTTTAGTTGGACAACTGCCAAATTGTTGTCCAGAGTGTTCCACAAGCAGCAGTGAGAGTTCCAGTTCTTCAGCATTCTTGCTGACACTTGACACGATCTGTTGTCTCATGTTAGCCTTTGCAGTAGGCGTGTCTAGTAGTAACACCTATGGTTTGATCCTCAGTCTTTCTGACATAAAATAATTCCTGTGTTCCCTTTCATTTTGGACAGTCATCTTCTATGAAATACCAGTTTTAAAACTCCTTTTGATATGGTAGCTAGCCATAGGAAAATGCCATCTGCCTTTCAATATTGTGATATTCGGAAGAAATAGAAAAGATTATTATTATTGCTGTTCATAGAAAATAAGTCTACAAGATGTTTCTGCATAATGGCAGTATCCTATCCTGGCACGTGAAGTTCGTCCAAAGATCACTTATTGTTGACCACTTGGAGAAAGGCAAATATAAAAGGTTACAAAGGAATAACCCATTCGTGCATAACCCACAGTTGTCTGCAAAGTTGAAGGCCCAACAGGCCCATAATACCATTTGCCCTTCCTTACGTCTGTAACTCTCGCCTTATGTGCCCAGTGGAAATAAAGTGCAGAAGACAAACCGCAAACTTGAAACAAAGACTCTTCATGTCTTTTGGCATTTAAGTAGAGAAGGGAAATGCGTGCATACCTATACCCTTTGCATACATATTTATGTTTGAAATATCCTCTCACTTCGCAGATACTATGGAATGTTTCCATTATGTCAGGCACATTTTGAAATAGTTTCCAGGGATACAAAAACACATACTCCTGCTCTCAAGGAGCTTACAGTCTTGAAGAGGAGACAGATGTGCAACAAATAGTTACTATAGAGTATAAAATGTGCCATCTACTGGGGCTGCTATAACAAAATACCATACACAAGGGCCTTATAAACAACAGACATTTATTTGTCACAGTTCTGGAGGCTGGGAAGTCCAAGATCAAGGCATTGATGGATTCAGTGTCTGATGAGGGCCCTTTCCTGGTTCCCAGACAGCCATATTCCTACTGTCCTCACATGGCAGAAGGGGCCAGGGAGCTCTCTGGTGTCTCTTCTATAAGGGCACTACTCCTGTTCATGAGGGCTCCACCCCCATGACCTAATCACCTCCCAAAGCCCCCACTGCCTGATAACATCACATGGGGGACCAGGTCGGAAGGGGACTCGCACATTCCGTCGCCAGCAAAGCATGTGTGAAGTTACGCAGTATACACAGGTTGCAGTAGGTGACACAGAGGTGTGTGAGCAGGTCTCTCAGAGTGGGGGATGTTGGAAGAAGCCTGCACGGGAGGAGGTGGCTCATGATCTGGCATCTTCCAAACCAAGGAGCAGAGAGGAGGCCATTCTAGGGCATACGGAACTAGGCAAAGAGGTATGAGACAACCTGGTTTATCTCTGGAGCTTGAGGTATGACAGGAAGGAGAAGAGGCAGCAGATGGTGAAGGGCTTTTAGTACAATCCCAGGGAGTTGGGCCTGATTCCTCCCCACTGCCTGTAGACGCGGTCCTTTATACGTCTGTGAGCATTCTGCCAGATTTTAAGGCACTGGACATGAGTCCGTCCATGCACTCTATCAGCAGATGTTTCTCGAAAACCTACTGTTTGCCAGAATCTTGTCCTTAAAAACAAAACAATTTCATGGGGGAGAAAGACTTGTTAAAAAAAAAAAAATCTGATTACAGAGCCGCACAGTATTATCACAGAAATACATGCTTTCTTCTCTCCTGGATCTGGAAAATAGGAAATCACTTTGGATAGTTTTAAACAGGGAACCAGTCATGGTCATAGCTTTGATTTAGGAAAAGCAATACTGCTGATGGAGTGATTCCCCAAGATCTGCCGTTGAAGTAGATATTTTAAACATTCACTGACTAACTACTACTATCAGCTTAAATAAGTTTTGCAAGAATGGCAAGAGTGGAGTTGAATCATCTGCATTTCCTCCAGACCCAGAGCATGCTTGAGCAGCTGATAGCGGGACTACCAGAGACAGCGTCTTAGCTCTGATGCTCTTGTTTTCAGGTGACCAAGAATGAACGTCAGGTAATGAAGCCACTGTATGACAGATACCGGCTGGTCAAGCAGATCCTGTCCCGAGCCAACACCATACCCATCATTGTGAGTACAGCGCCTTTCTGTGGTTGACTGCCTGTGGGATGGGCCCTGGCTCTATTGACAGAGCCCCGCCCTGCCTTCTCACTAAAGAGTAGTCTGTAATAGTTGAAGCTGTCAGGAATCTATGGCTCATAAGCTTGGGGAATGAAGAATGCATCAAAGACTTCTGAGACTACAGTTGCCCCAAATAAGCAAATCTGAAGCAGCTAGAGTTTTGTTTTCTTTTGAGCAACATGCTTTGACGTATCCGCCCCTCTGACTTGTGCTGGGCTCACTGCCCCACCCTTTCCTCGGAGACCAAGCACCAGCACCCCGGGGCTGTGTTTTCTCCAGGCCCCTCCAGGCCAGAGGCCCGTCCGGTCCCAAGTCTTCTCTCTCCCTCCAAGAGACGGATAGCCCCGGTGGGAATCCTATCCAGGAAGAGATCCTCTAAGGAGCTCCAGAGAGCCACCTCTTTTTGAAGGCTATCGAGAAGCTAAGGTGGAAGAAAAGGGAGGGAGGCTAGTCCCTGTGGGGCTGCTCTCAGTGGCCACCGTCATCTGACTAACACATAGCTGCTTCTGGCCTCTGAATTTTGATTTTGTCCAGAGTAGGAACCAGCAGCTTGCCTTCAGGCACTGGCCAACTTGCCCTGCTCCCGTATTCCAGTATTTCCTCCCAGCTTGTGAGTGAGCCTTACTGCACTGTCACCTCCTGGGGGAGCCTTTGCCTCTGGCCCAGTGCTGTCCTCTCTGGGAGCGTTGGGGGCTTTCTCTGCTGACTTTTAAACTTTCTAATAAGCAGACACTGCCTTGCTTTTATGTTGTTATTAAGATGCATGTCATCTTAGCTGCTGCTCTTCGGTTCCTGCTTTAAATCTCGTTTGTTGCTTTCTTTTCTTTTTTTTTAAGATTTTCTTTTTGGGACGCCTGGGTGGCTCAGTCAGTTAAGCATCTGCCTTCGGCTCAGGTCATGATCCCGGGGTCCTGGGATTGAGCCCCGCGTCAGGGTTCCCTGCTCAGCAGGGAGTCCGCTTCTCCCTCTCCCTCTGCAGCTCCCTCTGCTGTCCCCCTGCTTGTGCTCTCTCACTCTCTCAAATAAATAGATAAAATCTTAAAAAAAAAAAAAAAGATTTTCTTTTTAAGCAATCTCTACACCTAACATGGGGCTCAAACTCACAACCCCGAGATCAAGAGCTGCATGCTCCAACGACGGAGCCAGCCAGGCGCCCCTCCTTGTTTATTTCTAAAATATGATCTTTGTATTTCTTTTAACAGTGTATCTGTCCCTCAGAATGAGGGAGGTTCCAGACTTCAGGCAGGTGTGTTAGAAGAAAGCAACTTCTCTAGAAATTTTTTGCAGAATAAATTAGTAAACTAACCAAGGAAAGGATTCAGTCTAAGCAATCCTTTCCTTCTCCAGTTACGAGCTCCGAGTGCCGCTCTCAACAAGTGTTCCTAAATAAGGAGAGTGTATAGCAGGGAGGCCACGCAACCTCTGAATCTCCTGAGGAGCTTATGGTGTTATGCTTGAGGATGCTCATGATTCCCGGGTTCTCGTTCCTGCTGTCATCGGTGGGGGGCGGGGGGGGGCAAGCCAATGCCTCTCCTCGGGCTCCTTCTGCGTTTGGTTGGCGTGTTCATGTGCTGTTCTTGCTCTCCTGCAGCCTCCTTGGCTTGGGGCCGTGGGCTCTGGAGTGAAGCAGCACCTTGGACGAGAACTTTGGTTGCCCCTGGTTTTCCTGGGAGTGTTTGGCGGGGGAGGGCTCAGGTATATAGTTCAAAGTCAGTGATGAATCCTAGGGCATTGGAGGAGGCAGAGGCCTGGAGGGCAAGGGAGAGGGGTTCGCGATGTAACCGTCTTGTCCACACCTGTCTCAGGGATCCCCCTCCAGCAAGCGGAGAAGCCCTTTGCTGCAGCCAATTATCGAGGGCGAAACGGCTTCCTTCTTCAAGGAGATAAAGGTGAAGACCTCCCGCCGCTAACCTCTCCCAAACTGGCTTCCATTCTCTCCCGGCCTCCCCTCCTCCTGTGGATGCAGGCGGGGCGGGGGGCCCTCTGGGGCCCGGGTGCTGGTTTCCCGTGCTGTGCCCTCAAAATCATCAGCTGCTCCTAACCAACCACCAACAGTCCCCTCTTACTGATGTGAGGGCCAAGCCGATCTCCTTAGTTTCATCTCATTCCCCTGCTTTTTTGTGACTTCTTGTTGTTTGTTTTGTGTTCATTTTGCTTTCAGGGATTTGGGCGAGGGCGGGTGGTGTTCACAATATTTCTTTGTTTTGTTTTCCTTTTCATATTTTGTTTGTTTGTTTCATTTTTCATATTTCTGGGAAAGCCCTAAGCCTGGGGTGGTCATTTATCTACTGTAGTTAGGAATGGTATTGCAGAACACAAGGGCCTCGTTCCCACAAGGGACACCAGTTGGGGACCGCTCCATTGTCCTGCCTGGTCCTCATCATTGTGACTGGTCTTCGATCTTATTTATTCTTGTCCTTTTCTTAGTTCTTAGGGGCCTTCATTATTTCATATACCTAATTTTAAGGTATTAGGCAATGATTACACTCACTGTTCGTATTATTTTACCTAGAACTTGTTTTATAAAAATGCTCTAGACATAACAATTAGGCAAATATGCTCTATTATATTTTAAAAATTGGAGCTATTTTCTTATAATAAGACTGGATGTTGATGAAAGAAGACAGATTTTGGCTGGTAATTCCACACGAGAATGAAGTCACTGTAATTGAAGAAATTTGGGCAATTGTGTGTATTGAAAATGAGCATTTCTCTTAGAAGCATGCAATAGAACTGTTACTAGATAAAAATGTGTTCTTTAACACATCCAAAATATGACAATAAATAATTGCCTTATTAAACGAATGAAAGATATATTTAATGATGCACTTTTTAAAAGAGGGCATTCTTCCAAATCTTGTTCAGCTCAGTTTATTTTTTTCACAAGTATATTTTGGCCAGGGCTCTTCTTCTGGCTCACGTGGTGGTCAAAATTTCAGATAATTTTGCAATGCTTACATTGCTTTTGTAAACAGTGTTGTCTTTTAGTTCATTTTGTTCCAACTGGCCGGGCTTATTAGCATGTGTTTGGACTGTACTAATTCTTGGCAATTCTGATACAATTTAGAACTTGATGTGGGTACAGATCAGAAGATTGTATCAAGGTGGTTTCCTTAAAAGCCACCCCTGGTTTTAAATGCTCATGGTAGGAAACCAGCTGTGTGTGAAATAGAACCAGCTCAGGTTCTGAAGCCCTAGATCTTCCAGCCCCCAAATCCTAGAGATAGTCTAGTCAATTCTCCTATCCAACAAGAGAATTTCCTTTAAAACTTACCTGACAGAATAGACACACTGTCCCTAAGAAGTGATTCTATCCTCAAGCTTGAAAAGTTTATGGCAATGGAGAAGGTCATTCATTCCATGGGCTAAGCATCAATAGGAACTAAAAACTTATATTATATTACTAGTTTTATCATTATCATGAGAATACTAAGAGACAATAATAATTACATAATATGCAGTTTCAGAATGTATAAGTTTGATAAGTACAAAGATAATTTAAAATTACAATATTCGTAATTATTACTAATGTATTGCTTTCTACGTAATAGGCTTAGTGTTGCCTCTTGGAACAACATGGAGTGAGCGTAACTGCTGCTTCCTTGAGAGCCCTTCATACCTTACCGTCACCTGCCCTGTCCACTCTCACCCACAGCCTGTGGAAGTTTGTTCTCCAGGTTCTTCTTCCTATTCCTAATGCGATATTGGTCCCAGACCAATGCAGCCTCATGGTTCTGCTCTAATCACACCAGTCTATCTATATCCCTCTGATACACTGATACCCAGAGAGGACTTCACCAGCAAGGTAGATAGTGGACCAAGGACTGGTCCTGATCTTTATCTGGACGGCCAGGGCCCTTTGTTCGACAAGTCTGTGCCTACGTGACTGTCTACGTGCTGTGAGTTCACTGTTCTCTTCTAGGGCAGCACACGTCCAGCTTCCACACTGTAGACATCTTGGGCCAAACAGCTTGCTGTTGTTGGGGGCTCTAGATGCCAGTTGTGCCCGACAACCACCCCTTCCCAGCTGTGGTGACCAAACCTGTCTCCGGACCTTGCCAAAGGTCTGCTAGGGTCAGCATCCCCCCGGGTGAGAACCACTCCCCATGGCCCCATCTCACTGCTGACTGTGCAACCCCTCACTTCCCTTTCCGTGGATTGATTGTCATCTATGTCCAACTAGTTTTCCTAACCTAAATTGTAGGACCTGGAATTTTTTGTCACACTTCTATTCCAGCCCCATGAAACTGATGAAATCTAGATTTTTGTATTCCAACATACCAAATATCCATACCTACTTTGTATGATCTATGCATTTTGTGAATATGCCTTTTGTGTCTTTTATCCAAGTGATCGATAAATATTGAGTAAGGCTGGGTCAGGTAAAGAACCTGCTATAGACTTCCCTTCAGATTCACATCACTATTGCATCATCACTCCGCACAAATTTTCACAATCAGCTTTCTTTTCTTTTGTTTGTTTGAAGATTTTATTTTTTAAGTAATCTCTACATCGAACATAGGGCTTGAACTCAAAACTCCGAGACCAGGAGTCACATGTTCCAACTAAGACAGCCAGGCGCTCCATCAGCTTCCTTTCATAGATCAGCTCCCTTCATTAATTGTTGAAATCCAGATATTATGCCAATCCTATCAAAAAAGGAAAAATGATTTGTTTCCATCATTTGTTTTAAGAGAGCCATTGTTAGTCACCATTGATCGTGGACTCTTTTTCAATTGTTCATATATTATCTATGTGTTCATTCCTTCTAGAATCTACCCAATATCCACAACAACTTGATGGGCATATAATTTGAAGATATACTTTATCATTTTTTTTTCTATGACTTTTTACCGCTTGCTGAGAATAGTTTTGTTTAACCTCATCTTTAAATACATTGAGTTGTCACTGTGGACAAGACACATTCTCACATTTTTAAGTTCCCTTAAGACCTTGGGATGTAACTGATTAGGTCTAGACACCTGACTTTATTTCTTATCTGTCTTGGGCTGTAATACTCTCTTCTAGTAATCTGTATTTTTCTTTTAAAACTGGATTACTGGACTGTTTGACAGACGTTAATTAAGCACCTACTATATGCGGGCGTTGGCTAAGCTCTGGGAACAACAGTGAACAGATAGGCCCAAATCCCTGCCTCCACAGAGTTTATGGTCAGGTGGTTCCACCAGTCTTCCTCATCCGGGGGGTGGCGGCAGGACTGGGGGGGCAGAAGGTTGATCTGGAGCATCTCTCAGGTACATACCTTATCTCAACCAATCCTTCTAAAAACTACAGAGGGTGGGAATTGTTACTTCCTTTTACCAAAAAAAAAGAGAGAAACTTCTAAATTACTAATTTAAAAGTCACTTTTATTCTATACATTTAAAAATGTCTTTAATAATTTCAGTTTTTAAAAATTAACCACGAGGCATTTATTCCAAGCAAAGAGACAGAAGATCTGAAGTCACAGCAGAGAGAATCTGGAAAAGCCACCTAGTTTTTACCAATTTTGTAGAGCAGTACTTTCATCAGAGTTTTGTACTGGTCCTTTGTTTTGTTTTGCTTTGCCTGCTTGTTTATTTGTTTATCCACATTATTTCTCGTCAGAGGCACCATTATAAACATAGCAAACTTTATGGTAAGAAAACCCCCTGCAGGCAGTTGGCATACTTGTACCTTGACCACCAGTGGTGCCTGCACCTGCCTCCTGAGACTAATGTGTTGCCGCCTTGGCACTGGAGGCACTTCAACTGATATTACACTTGCTGTTGTTCATGTAGCTATGCTCCGAACCACTTTTTAAATTTTTCAGTTATTAGGATATTCTTGTCTGGTCTGACTGTACATCTTGGCAGTAAATTGCTTCTTTTAAACTCTTCCATTCAGACCGGTATGATTTCATCCTTAGACTTAAATTGGCACTAAGGAACTCTAATTTGACTTCATTGTTTTTCTACTTGCATTGCCAAGACAGAAAATATCATGCTTTTCTTAGACTCTTGGATGCTGAAAAATACAGCTGTGGACCTTGGAAGTTCCTTGAAAAAAACTTAAAAGAGTGTTAGGATTCCAATCATGAGAACATAAATGTTTTGATCCTCTCAAAACTTTCCTAAAATTCTGTGCATCAGGAACCACAAAATATTTTATAATCAAAACTCTTAAATAGAAAGGCTGTATTGTTCAATTTCTGAAGGTGTTGACAGCTTAATAAAAAATATTTTCTGAGGTCCACAACTAATGGAATCCCTAAAGTGCTGATGGCTGGTGGTGGATTTTGTTATGTGTTATCCCAGAGCTGGGAATTTTGGAACTCTTTTGGGATTCAGTTGATTTGGGGTATAAATTATAATGGTGGTTCCGTCATACCTTCAGTCTTGACAATTGTTCATTGTGCTGTACATTAACTTTTTTATAGTGTTATGGTTTTTGCCCCTACTGAGTAGCTGTGTTTAGTGTTGGTGTTATTTACTGTGTTCATATAGATATTCAATTAGATATCGATATAATATACATATGTGTTGCTAAGTGTAGATACAGAAGAAATCATATGGTGTGTGGATAACTAAGTGACCGTTACCTGCCACTTACAATGTAAGAGTGCCAGGAAAAGTAACTGGGTTTGTATCGGGGTTGCTGTGCCTCTCCAGGAAGAAGATGAGGGTTCGGAGGACGATAGCAACACAAAGCCGGACTTCACGGTCACTCTGAAGACCGATTTCAGTGCCCGCTGCTTCCTGGACCAATTTGAAGATGATGCTGATGGGTTTATTTCCCCAATGGATGATAAAATACCGTCAAAATGCAGCCAGGACACCGGGCTCTCCAACCTCCATGCCGCTTCAATGTAGGTCATTTCAGCGGCGGTGTTGAAATGTTTTGGTGAAAATACCGTTCTTAAATATTTTAGCCTTTCTATTTAAATAAGTTGTCTGGCAGAACACAGGTGCCTTAGCTGGGGGACATCCGTGTGGATAGAACAGTGACTCTTTTTTTGGCTTCTGGCTCCGTGTTTTATATTCTCCATCCCGTTACCGGAGGGAGCACGTGAGACCTCGCAGGAACAGCCAGGGCTCTACGATGGCGCTGAGCGGTTCTGTACTCCACAGCGCTTCATTTAACACGTACCAAGCTCCAATGTCCTCTTTCTTTCAAAGCAAAATACGATAAAGTGCCATGGGATTCTACAAGCCCTAAGGATTCATAAGTAGCAGGCGCTTTGCGGGAGTCTGGGGAGCTGTACCCGTCATCGGGATGGTTGGCATTCAGAGGATGGAAAACCTCCGTTTCTGCTGTCCCTCAGCTCCCTCAACAGCTATTACGTTTACACGCTGCCCCGTCTCCACAACCCCTGTCGAGTTGCACATTCATTGTATTTATAACAATTCGATTTAACCCAGTTTTCTTAAAATTTGTCTGCCCTTCTCAGACCAGAACTCTTGGAACACCTTCAGGAAATGAGAGAAGAAAAGAAAAGGATTCGAAAGAAACTGCGTGATTTTGAAGACAATTTTTTCAGACAAAATGGAAGGTAGCGCCTGTTTTCCTTGCCCTACCTCCTGCCCCTCCACACACACACCCCTCTTTTTTTCCTATCAGATCTCTGCAGTGCCTCCGAAGTGGGAAGCCCTCTGCATCCTGCCTGTAGCCTAGTCCCTTGGAGGTTCACTGTGGGATGGGGAGGTTTGTGTGGTCCTTCAGCAAGAAATGTTCCTGGGATAGTCTCTGAGACTGATGTAAATTCAGCTAACATTTATACAACTAACCTGTCACCTCAAATTCTAATCTCAAATGAGCAGCTTGAAGCTACGTTTCCAGCTGATAGCACTGCGTTTTGGTTTTGGTTTGGGGTGGGTGAGTTGTCTTAATAGGCTAGAAGGAGAAATAAGGAAAGGGCAACTTTAAATCTTGGTGTTTTTAGGCTTATTTTAAAAGCAAAGGTGATCGTTGTCAAGTTTGAATGAAAAATGTGCAAGAAGCAGTAAATCCACACGATTGACAGGGTGCCTTTCTTGAGTGAGTTTCAAGACAGGAGGTAATCAACCTCGTAGAACATCATGCTAAGGAATAGCAGGCATCCCCTGTTTGCTGGGGACCGCACACAGTTCATACCAGTTTGCAGCGTGAGCCAAGGGCAAGACAGGGAAGAGATATGCATCTCTTACGTTGGAGTTGAGTTTTAACACTTCAAAATAATTTTATTTTAATCCAAATTATTTAAATGGTGTAAATATAGTTTCTCTTTAAAAGATCCCCTTTTCATACTTCTCAAAAGTATTGGGAAATAAAAGCCCCATAAACATTAACTTTGGCATTTAAAATGTGTTGTGTTCCAGTTTATTTCAATTATTATATAAATTTATTTTTTAGCATCCCTAATTTGGATCTTACAGTGACTTTCTTAAGATTTATGAATTTTTATACCTACATATTTGCTTTTCTTTCTCCATGCATTGTAGGCTATTTAGAAAATATCAATAGGCAGACAAAAGAAATAATATGCAAAATAAGAATAATAACCAAAGACAAAACAGGATTAATGTCTGTTCCAGTCCATTCTTCTTTCTAAATATATTCTTGGTTTGTCTATCTTTTTTCTGTATAATTATAGTCACTTTATGCACAGATATCTTGTACATGAGGAACTATATAAAATGATGTAAACTTCACAAGTTTTAAGAAAGGATATCTTATGGGAATTTATAATCATCATGCAAGGTTGGGTTTTTTGTTTTTTTTTAAGTTTTTATTTATTTAAGTAATCTCTGCACCCAACATGGGGCTCAAACTCACGACCCCAAGATTAAGAGTCACATGCTCTTCCGACTGAGTCAGCCAGGTGCCTCATCATACAAGGTTAAAACTCTGACTTCAGACATCATTAAATCTGGTCCCCTTATTTCATATCTGAGGAGAGTGAAGTCCCTCGAAGAGCAAGGTGAGGGCAACTATCAGATTGCTTTTCCCTTCACTGCCCTGCACTGAGAAGCCATCTAGCACCCTTTACTTGAACAAGGCAGGGCATGAATAAAATCTGTTTTTTAGTTCATTGAACAAAATTAAATAAGCCCCATGCTATCCCCTTTCCTATATTTTTTCTTTAATAAAAAGAAAAGGAAGCCTGGTATTTGCATGTTTGACATGCGCATTTCAAAGTGAAATGAGAATCAGGACTGCACTGCACAGTGATTGAGAATGTAGACAGTAACACCATTTCATCATGTCCTCGTGAGGGTTATACCAGGCCGTGGGGACAGAGTTCTTAGCACAGTGCTTGACCTGTAATAAGCCCTCGATTAATACTTGCACATATAAAAAGTATGTATATAAAATGACTCAGTAAACTATAAAGGCTTATTAGTATTATGTGATACAATTGCTGAATTCCAAGACTAATTTTATAGTAAGTAGGATATTAACTCTCTGTTTTTTTAAACCTATAAATTATGGGTATGCCAATTGCTAATTAGAAACTTAATGGTTCATTAGATGAAATATATAAAAGTGAAAATGCATTAAGAGTAAATAAAGGATTTCAGTCTATGGAGACTCTTAATGTGCATTCATACATACCAGCAGCAGGGAGAAAAAACTTCTACAGTTTTTAGTCCTTCATACCATTCTACAGGATGCCAGATTAACTCTAAAAATTCAGTTTCATGGTGGCTTCTGGGGGAAGAGATCTTTCACTGCTTGTCTAAACCCAGCTTCAGTCTTGATACCAAGTGACACTTGGGAACACCAATTCTACAGGTTGATAAACTGCAGAGTTTCTACATGATGATAATTCACCTGATGAACAGTATCATCTAGGAGAGACAGCCAATGATCCTCAGCCCCCTTTCCCTTTGTTTCCGATAGAAATGTCCAGAAGGAAGACCGCACTCCCATGGCTGAAGAATACAACGAATATAAGCACATAAAGGCAAAACTAAGGCTCTTGGAGGTGCTCATCAGCAAGAGAGACACTGATTCCAAGTCCATGTGAGGGGGGCAGCCCCAGCCCGAACAGAGGGGGCTGCTGAAGGTGCAGGCTGAACTTACCACATGTCTCCCCTAGTAAAGAGCAGCTCTGCACAAAGTGGAAGGCAGCATTTGAGGTGGACCTGCAAAGCATGTAGCCCCTTCTGCCTCCGGGCCTTTGGGATCCGCTCCAGTTTCCATCGCCGGCCTCAGAAACTGCCTGGATGGAAGAGGGCAACCTGCTTTGATTTAAGAATTTTGTAAGGGGAAGTCAAGATCCCGCAGGCACACGTAGACCCTAGGGGAAGCTTCACTAACGCTGGCGGTGATGAATCACTACATGGAGACACATTCATCTACAGAGAATATACACTGTTCTTCCCTGGATAACTGAGAAACATGTCTAACTGGGATACAACCCAGCTCAGGACTTCCCTCTGGAGAGCGAACTTGCTATGCAGGTCTGAGTTCTCTTGGCACCCAGTAAAGTGGGAACGTGCGCCGGAGCCCTGTTTGCTGCCTTGGCCATTCTCGTGACCTTTCCCTGCTCGCGTGAATTGTCCCCCTTCAGTTCTCAGGTAGACGGAAGCCGCGTCGGCCCAGCACGGCGGCGCAATCACCTGTTTGTTGGTGTGTTGCTTCAAGACTTCCTCGGCTGACGAAGAATTTTGATTCTTGACCAGGACTGGATCATCTGCAGAGGACGGAGGGAATATAGCTATATTCGTGCTGATTTTTAAATCAGGCAACAGGGTGAAGAGCGTGGAAAATTCCTTCCTGAACATGGATTGCACTTGATCAGTCTCAGATTTTCGCATCCAACACTAAGCAAGACCAGTATGCTATGGCGTCCTGTGTGGGGCTTGGTTTCACTTTGGCTCTAGCCAAACATAAAGGATCTTGCTTAATTCTTAGCTTAAGTGTTGAGGATCATGAGAGAGAGAGAGCAAGAGCCTGTGTTCTAAGCCTTCTGAGTACTTACCAGAGTTTAAAAATTTTTTTTAAAGTAAACCTGCACTAAATCCCCTCACTGAGGGGTAAATGTAGCCCTCAGAACTCAGTCCAAGGTGGAATCTAAATCACACTATTTTCAAGATCATGTATAAAGAGAAAAATAATGGTGTGGGGTCACTTAGGATTATAATTTTTTCAGAGACTGTGTTGCAAAGCTGTCTATATTAGACCTTTTGGGAAGACCAGGGAATTTAAAACACCAAATCATTCATCTCTTTACTGTGCTGATGTCCCCTTGTGATTTGTTGTTACTTTTTCACCTTCTGTGTCTACATCGAGGAAAGTGAACTCTGTTTCTTCTCCCTGTCCGTCCAAGGCCTATGTTGGCACTTTGTGGGGTGGAGCTTTGTGGGTTTGCGCTTAGTGGGATGCAGCTCAAGTGTCTGCACACCGGCCACCGACTGCCAAGAGAAAACATCTCAGTAGGCTCTGCCTTTTGAAGATCATGTCGCAGGATGAGCAGGAGAGCAAGGCTGCCCTCCCATAGGTTTTGAGAGTTGCCTTCTTAAAGGGTACCATTTTGTTTGGTTTGATAAGAAGAGGAAAGAGAACACTAAACTCTACTGACCAGTTGCCAGTTTTGAAATGGGTTCTTGAGAAACTGGCCAGATTGGATTTCTAGCAGTGTTTTCCATTGCTGAAGTGAGGTAGAAGCTGTCAGTTGAAAATTGTTCTAAGTTAGGAGTCAGGGGAAAAGAATACCTTTAAGTTTGCTCTTAAAAATAATCATATAGAAGCATGAGCTGTGTGTTGGAAGTCCCCTGTGTTAATCCACACATTTAAAGACGGTACATAATCCTACAAATTTAAATGTACATGAATATATAGTTTGGTATTCTTTGCTCTACTGTTTACATTGCAGATCACTATAATTTCGAGGAGTTATATTATAAATAAAACGAAGCACTTTAGGACGTTTTCTATTTTTGAAATCTGAACATGAATCATTCACATGACCAAAAATTGTATTTTTTAAAAGAAATACATGTCTAGTCTGTCCTTTTTGAGTAATTATTCTCTTAAATAAGCTATAATATAAATCAAATCATTACCAGTTAACCTTTAAAGCACATCTGTTTAAGAGTATTGTTTTGAAAATACTAATACGCTACAGAATTTTAAAAGAAAAAATGCTATATAAATGAGGAGCTACTAAATGTTTGAAATCTGTTGTTTCTGCCAAAGGTAAATTAAGTAAAAGATTTATCCAGGATTCCCCATTCCAATTTGTGTGATTGAATAAAAGAAAACACCAGGTTACAGTCAAATAAACTGCATATGGAATGTCGTGTTCTCCTTTGTAATTTCTCATCTATATTAACTTCACAGAATGGCGCCCAGATTAAGGGTGGAAAAGCCCTGTTTACACTCAATCCTATTTGAAGCCATGGCGGTAGGTTCCAGCTCTGCCAGAAATGCTGAGGCAAATTTGTTTCCACAGCAACCATTTCTGCAGCCCAGGGTCTTGGGGCCCTAGAGGCAGCATCTTAATTGGCTTCACACAGAATACTCTGGACTGGGGTTTTTCCTTTGCTCTCTTGGGAATGTGTGTGTGTTTATTAGCACACGCCAACAAAATAAATGTCAGGGGTTATTTAATAACATGATAAGTAAAGGTAAAGCATGAATAAACTTGATTGTATGACTGTAAGAATTAGAAATAGCAGAGGCTTGTAATTTTCACAAGCATTTGCTTTTTGTGTGTTCAGTCTGGAGTAAACATTGAAATAGATGTTTATGTTCAGTCGGTATGGTATCATTACTGCATTTCATTTCTGAATCATTCAGTTTGAATTTCTCTTTCCAGACATGTATGTGCAAGGTTTAGGAGAAGGGCCTGCTTAGAAGTTTTTCAGACAGCTGATCTGTCTTGTACCTGTAGAAGCAAGCTCACACCACCTCAGTGATCTCCCTGAATTCAGGGGAAATTTCAATGGAAGACCAAACCAAATTTCAAACTGGAGAACTGATTTTTTTTAATTGCTAGCTATAATGCATCGAGAGCTAAAAATTACATTTCTTCCCTCTAGTTGCCAGTTTGAAGTCAAAAGCTAATTATTCATTGCCTAGGCGGGGATCAGCCATGTCTCTATTTGTAATGTTAGTGTAATTTTTGCTTCGTCTCCTTCTGATGCAATGCTTGCGTGGTGGCAGAAGAGGCTGTTGCAGGGTGCGCCTGCTCCCAGGTGTGGCATTTCTAGCCCTGGACAAATGTCGCAAGGCTGTGTTGAAATCATAAATATTGCACTGAGCTGTCCTGAGGCGAGCAGTTTTGGAGCCCCTGAGGGCTGAGCATTTGTGAATGTGGTTGAGCTTGGAATTCCTAATAAGGTGACTATTTAGGTTTATAAAAGGGGCCGCCGTGGTACCAATTACGTTGGTTCTTTCTGGAACTTCCTATTTCTCAGCAGACAGAACTGGGCCCAGTATACAGAACTGGTCAGATCTACAAGAAAAATCAGATTTCAGTTTGTTGATTAACCGTTTAAAAGAGATTCTTAATCTGATAGTGAAGATGCCACTTTTCTTAACCTTACTACTTTTGATGGTATATTTACAGTCGAATGTCATAAACTGTCAATAGCCTTATGAAACATTGGCTGTAGTCTAAATTCTGTCTTGCATTCAAGAAGGATCTTCCCGACACACTGCTTCCTGGAGGGTTTTTTTCACCCCTCAGTGGGGAGAGGTGGTTTCTGCACCAAGACCAACACCTCCTTTATATTCTTTTTCTGTATCCACTTGGGTACATCAATAGGGAGAGACAAAACCGTACTCACGTGTGAAGCTCGTATGTGTGGCGGAACTCACAATGTGCTTTCTTTCCTTTTATTCCCTTTTATTTTTTCTCCACTTGACCCCAAAATGTACTGAAGAGTACATTCTGTCCTGAGACTAGCCAAACGTATTTTCAGATGTTTATTCAGATTATGCATCCTAACACTTCACATGGGCGGCGTGGCAAGCTCCTAACAAGAGTGACGTGTGTGGCAGGCGCGGCGTGGTGGCGCTGGCCAGTTGTGCCCTTGTGGGCATCTGCATTCCTCTCCTGTGATCCTTAATAGGAGTGTGGACATCAGCTGAGATCATTACAGATCGACACAAACGTGTGTGTAAAATGAAATATGTACATCTCCAAGTTCCTATGGCTGAGACGTTGCAGTTTTGTCTCCAGAGACTCTCATTCTGCCTGGAATCCGCCCTGTTGTGCTCATGCGCATGGCTCAAGAAATCGAGAAATCGGTGTGGCAGATCCGCTTCTCAGTCTGAAAGCACCTATACATACCGTCCTGAAAATCTCCAAGAGTAGATACAATTTCAGTTAACATGGGCCCAGAACAATGTTTACATGACATGTAAGCAGAACGCATTTGAAATTACAGTTGTCCTTTTTTAAAATGTAAACTGAATGAAAAATGTTGTGTACATTTCTGTACATGACTGACTGTATTTTGTATAAACGTAAATAAAATATTTTTAACTGTGAATGTTGGGAAATTTTTGACAGGAATGTATGACTGAGCTGCCTGTGGGGTCTGACATCTCCTTTAGGTAAGGAATCTCTGCTTTTCCCTGAGCTCCCCAGCAGCCTCATGAGGATTAAGTTTTTGTTATTCTGTCTCCAAAGAGGTCACTGGAGGGTGAAGCAAACTCATTACAGATTAGGCATGCCCATGGTTCTAGGTAGAAAAATGGACTTGTGCTGTAGGCTCAGCTGCCTTAAAAAAAAAAAAAAAAAATGCTTGGGACGCCTGGGTGGCTCAGTCGTTAAGTGTCTGCCTTCAGCTCAGGTCATGATCCCAGGTTCCTGGGATCAAGCCCCACATCGGGCTCCCTGCTCTGCGGGAAGCCTGTTTCTCCCTCTCCCACTCCCCCTGCTTGTGTTCCCTCTCTCGCTGTGTCTCTCTCTGTCAAATAAATAAAATCTTGGGGCGCCTGGGTGGCTCAGTCATTAAGCATCTGCCTTCAGCTCAGGTCATGATCCCGGGGCCTGGGATCAAGTCCCACGTCAGGCTCCCTGCCCAACAAGGAGTCTGCTTCTCCCTCTCCCACTCCCCCTGCTGGTATTCCCTCTCTCCCTGTCTCTCTCAATGTCAAAT